CTTCCTCGATAAATGGACTATCAAACTCAAAAAGAATTTTCAAATCGGTCCAGTAGTTCCTGAGATTATTTTTTTTAAGGCGGGAAAATCATCGAATGACTGCTCCCGCCTCAGTGTCAGAATCTTACTGACTAAAAACCACCCCGTTCCTTCTTCTGCACGTCGAGCCGGAGCCCCGGTAACCCGTTAGGTACTCCGCGACAGTTCCTGAGATTAGCGCGTTAAAACAAACTCTACAGGTTTCTATAATAGTATAAGATAAGTATTCATTAGTATCTCATTAGGTACGTACAATTTACAGCAGTAGGTACACTTTTTGAACAAAATCCTTTGGCAAACTCGCTGTCCACCAGGCGTGTTCCCTTTGGTCGCTCGCGCCAAGTGCATACGAATATCGCCCGATAATGGTCAACCGCTAACTTTTGTCGATTTTACATAGGGTTCTTTCCACAAGCCTATTAAATACGCCTATATTACATAAATTATAGGATAAATTACACCACTTACATATGCACTCTCTGCTCCCTGTCATGACCTGATGCAATTTAACCGGAGAGAGGTCAAGCGCAGGTCCAATTGATTTATATTAAGTACATGCTTTCAAAGCGCAGAGATAAATGTGACTCATTTTTTTTTTCATATTTTATCGTTTGTAACATTAATTTTAATGATTTGAACATTAAGTTATTACCTAGGTGCTAACTCCGTGCAAAGTGATAATCGAAGGACACGCAGGTCGTCCTTTTATCCATCACGGTGTAACGCCTGTTATGGCACATTTGCTGTAACAGGTTATGTGCAGCAGTATAATGTGCAGCGTTGCTTCGTGGGGTCTCCGGAGCAAGTCTCTTCAAAGGACGTGCTCTATAAAGGTGCTGACGGTGGCCACCGGGGTGGTTTTAGTGAGGTACGAATCCCACACTCCCTAGACTTTCTCCCCAAAAAGCTCTTTTGTAGGTTTCCTAGGTAGTAACTCCTGCAGCGTTACCTTTTCAGACCAAAATCTATCTCTATGCGAAACGTTCAGATCGTTTAGTAGTTTTTGCGTGATCGTGTATCAGTCATACATCCCCACGAACATACGCATTTCTAATATTAGTAAGATAGACATATTTTCCTCATGACCAAAATTAAGATATTAGTCTCCCTCGTCACTTTATTCAAAAGTATACCGACTTTGTTACGCTATAAGGTTTATTTTCCAATAAACAGTAAAGAGACATCGTATTCTTGAAATAAAGCTGAAATCAATATATTCTTTTGGCTTTCAGTATCTGCTCTCATCAGAGCTGACCTCAAGTATTGATTTCGATATTTTTAGCTACCTTTGTCTGGTTCTTTTATTAGATAGTGTATATCTTATTTCATACTCAGTTTTCTTTGTAATATGATATGTTTTTCTTCGAAGGAGACTGCTTTGTTACTTGTGTTATTAATCTTAGGTGATAGAGGTGACTTACTAATGTCCTAACTAACTAGGTATTATTAATTTAGCTAACGTAAATGTCTGTGATCCAAAAGGTAGTGATTTATATCTTTTGGATAATTTTTCTCCACCTCCTTTTTTTAAGGTGGGGAAATCATCGAATGACTGCTCCCGCCTGGGTGAGGCGGGAGGAAGTGTCAGACTCTTACTGACTAAAAACCACCCCGTTCCTTCTCCTGCACGTCGAGCCGGAGCCCCGGCTACCCGTTAGGTTCTCCGCGACTTCTCCACCTCCTTAGGGTGCGAGAATTAACCTCTTGTCTGTTGAAATATGAGACACAATAGAAAACACATTGTGTCGCGCGTAGATTTGCGTTCCGACACTTTACATGTTAAACCATCCGAAACTTGAATTCTGTTCTATGAGACAATAATAAAGCAATGTGGAAAAAACTACAATAAGTGCCTACTCAATGCTTAGGACAAATCCATATCCATTCAATAAAGAACCTGAGCAACATTCACGCTTACCACCATTAGACCATCGCGGCAGTTAACAACATGACGTTATACTTTTACCATGCTATTAATTTAGATTTTTTATTTACATGTGTGCAGTTAAACGATCCTACATGACACAGTGACGTCAATGAATGGTGCAATTAGTCATCTGCACCAAAATAGGTCTGCGATTACATTAGCAAGTACCCCAATCTGTTTTTACAATATATTTTCAACTTTATTGCAATACGTTTAAGTTGAAAATCTGATACTTGGAGCGGTGGTTAAACTGTCTTGTATACCTACAGTTTAAGATGCATAATGGCATCACTTCCTTGTAGGGAGCAATATTTGCATTCATACTATTGTACTGCGTTCTACAGCTTGAACTAATTACAGTTTTTTCCAGCTCCGATGATACATCGTCAGGCAGTTCACTCTGTCTCCTCTTGGGGTAATAAAGCAGAGAGAATGTAACATACCCCTCACGCTTCATATACAATCGTCTATCTTTTCTTGCATGATCATCGATCAGTCTCCATTTTCAGTCAATATATTGGCTATCTTTCTTGCAACCGTATCTTTTGTTAATTAATGTGTTTTTCGGCTTACGGAATTATTTGACGAGGAACTCGACTAGCTTCAAGCCATGCTAGAGGCTCGAGACACCTCTTTTGTTATTCTTAGTTTTTTACTCGGTTATATATAAAACCGTGAGCGACTATCGGGAGACACGAACCTATTCTAATAGTTTTCGGTAACTTAACTCCTATCCACATGATCAGCCAACCTTAGGGTTTATAGCAGACCCCCTTACAGTGGCCTTTTGTTCAATAGTGGACGCATTCCTTTTGCTGATGATGATGGCTCTCCTTTCATTTTGTCAATCTTCCTCAATTAATCGAAAGATTTCGTATTTTTAGAAAAATCATATATTTATATTTATTTATTTATTCATTTTGCACAATGTACATATAATAGGAAGTATTACATACAACTAATTAGGTATATTAGGTTCGCTAGATGTTATTTCTAAAAAAACGTGGAGTTGAATAAAAAATTGCATAGGTATAATAGCTAAAGTCTATTTTTATACGGATTCATGCCCTTCAAATGACTGGCTGAAATGTTTTTGTCTTATTGCAACTGAATAATTGAAATTGTATTCTGTGTTGAATTTTAATATGATTTTTATTCGAACGTGTCTGTTTTATTTATATGACTAATGGCTAAGGATCGATCATTGATAGCGTAACTTCTGAATACGTGATTTTGTTTTCCAGCGTTCCTGTCTTGGATCACGACCTTCCACTTTTCAGCTCTTGTTTTAAGCGTCCCTGATCCACTACCCACGATTTAGCTGACATAATCAACCACACAACTTGTGTGCTCTGGTTGTTTTGACAAAATTCTGACCGCCATTTAATCGTCATAACATAACACATACTAGAGATAGGCATTTATTTGGATAAACAATTGTGTGTTGTAACAGATTGTAAGGAAATTGTGCTTAGAGGATAACAATTAATTATGATTGAATTACTCGTAATTATAATGGTGAGAAAGAAGGTGCTTATACCCTGGTTTTTGCTTGTCACTTAAAATAATCTGCGTAATGTTTTATTATGTAAAAAGTACTTAAGGACCGTTATTTTATTATTACCTGTACTTGTAATTGGTATTGTTGATAATAATAATAACATTTCCAACGTAGTCAAGCAATAAAACTCCGCTGAAATTACCAATTTATGAAATGTAAATTGTATTTGATAATGGTTTTGTTTCTATTTGCTTTTATAGAAATTAAGTTCTTAGTTTTATATTCACACTCAATGTATTTTCATTATTTTTTTATCGTAATCTGAATACGAATACGAACTGTAGGTTTCTTAGGTAGGAGAATGTCTTTAGCATCTAGTAATTAATTCTTAATGTACGTGAGCCTTGTAATGACAGCCGAGTGGAACGCATTTGTCTTCATCCCTACTTCCAACTCTTCCTAAGGGTATCCTAAGAGCCTATTAAGGGACAAACTTGACAGAGACCGGGCAACAGCGCTCCCTGATAAACCTCAACCTTTTGACCTGTAACCCGCCTGCCAAGCATGGAGAGGCAAACCAATCTAAAGTAATGAGGATGCCTTTAGTTAACCTTGCAGTAGACTATAAGCTACTGAGATGATGTCGATCTCATATGATCCTACCTGAAACCTCTCCACTTCCTATTAAGAATGATCCTTCATAGAAACATTAAACCATGTACCCACTGAGCCTTTACCTTATTAAATGTTGTCTAACAGATGCGCAGTTGTACCTTATGAAGAACATGTATCTTCTAACTTGTCAGTGTATATTACTTTGTCACAAAAACAGTTTAACACATCTCAACCACGCTAATGTATTCAAAATTGATCTTGGAGGTGGAATACAGTTTTAAGTGTGATCGGAAAAACCATCACGAATTGTAAACAGTGGCACGTTTGGGTTTACCCATGATTTTCGGGATATTCCGATGATATTGCCAATTTGCAGTGCATGAAAATTTGGGAGCATTAAAAAGAATAGATTTTTTGCTAGACTTACCACCAGCTAACACTGAGAATCTCAGGCCTTGCTCATTGGGGGACTCTAATAATTTATTTATTTATTTATTCCACTTACATTTATCTTTACAGGTTAATGCCCAATAATAAATACTACGATCATTTCATACTTGTTTAGCTTTTTAATTAGACGTCTAGTCAGCTACATCATGTTATACATTAAACTGTCAAACACCAAGCGGTCACCGGTGACCGCGACCTATTGTTCTTTAATTGTGTCTATAAAACCGGTACTCGACGAGTTAATTTAGGACCAATTTTTCAATCATCAGTTAATTCTTAAGTACAGAATAAAATTGACATTTGACAGTTTAGTATGGAAGATTATCAAATATTCAAAGTTATTCCTCAGTGTAAATTCATCTGGCGTTGAAAAAATCGGCCCTTAATGCTCTTCTGTATATTTGTAATTTCTCTTTTTATGTATTCCATTTTGAAATATCCTTAACTCAGCATTTTTAACACCAACACCGCGAACATTGGAGTTGTTTGTGGAATCGTTGCTCAGCAAAGCGATGCAGGTGACGATGGCGAGGAATGCGAAGACGCTCAGCCCTTCGCATGTGAAGCAGTGCATCCTAGCCGAGTCCAAGTTTGACTTCTTACGGGATCTGGTATGTTTTGTGTTCAAGAATAGTCTCATTTATCAGCTCTTATCGGTCCCTTACTAGAATACATACTTCATAGAACTGCTACTGCCTACATCACTGATTAGGTATCACTCCATGAATAGTTTGGAATGTGGTATAGGATAATTGAGATCTTTTTGTCTTATTGTAAATCTGGTATGTAAAATTAATAACCTAAAGTTGACGGGCAAAATACAAGTGATCCTTGAATTGACAATAAAAAGCTTATGGAGGGAGAATTAAAGGGAACAATGATGAAAGAATTTCAAATTATCGAGGCTTGTTTTAAGTATGTTCCATTGTGATTTGATATAATACATTTTACCGTCAAACACCGCGAGGACACCGGTGACCGCAACCTATTGTTCTTTAATTGTGTCTATAATGACGGTACTCAAAGGGTTAAGCGTCAGCAAACTAACATTCGAATGCGGAATAAAAATTACAATATAAAGGTCTATGACTCCGTTGCGAAACCCAAGGCAAGCAAAAGGTACCATTACAAAATAATATTAATTAAAAAGTTTTGTAAGAAATTATTTAAATTCGTTCGTAACAAAGCCCTTATAAGATAAGAAGTAGAATATTTCTCAGAAGTACTTTGTCTCAGTTGTCCTACCTAACTTTGTAAGTTTTAATTTATGAAACTATTGGCTAATCCTGATGCCAATAAAAGCGTCTATTCCTTAACGGCAAAAATCACTGAAATCTTTTTCGGAATAAGAGATTACTTATAGCCTTACAGGATCATCTTCAATACATTTTTTTTCTATCATAGGATAATCCATTATTCATAGTTATTCGTTATCCATATTTCTCTCTTCCAACTGGCTGATCTCTAGCGAATAATGTTTTTGTGTTTCGATTCCAGGTTAAGAATATCCCCGATGTGTCAGCGGCGGAAGAAAAAGAAATGATGAGCGCTGAAAGTTCACCAAATTCTTCTAGGTAATCACTTTTATATTGCGGTACAGATTATTTAATAGAAAAAGAACGCGGAACTTTACTCTTTTATAAAAATAATAAAGTTTGGCGTAAATATTACCTATGTATGTTGCAAGTTCTATGTAGTAGGCGTCGAGCCTATTTTCAACCACCAATCGGTATATCACAAATATTAATATATTACCAGACTCAGGTTTATCCAAGACAGAGATACAGAATTTAAACTTGGTCATACAAGATCCGCCTTTACTTCGCATCTTTTGCTATAATTTCTACACCGGAAAGACCCATTAGGACCTTTTATTCCAATCTTGTTGAGACCCCTGCGATCCGCAGTCGCATTCACAGTCACTTAACTAACGATCGCGTGCTAAAAATATATCTATTATTATTAAAATGTTCCTATGACCTGCCATTTCTGGTGGAAATTTCCACATTTATGACCGTTTTAAGACCAATAAAAGTATGAAGAAGTACCTATGCTATTACCGTCTTTTATATAATTTACATAGCACAAAGTAGGAGTTTGTTAATTGACCACACTAACTGTAGTGGCAACCTTGGAGCTGTTTAATTGCTGGGCTTACCTTTATTGCTGTAAATTACATACTATGTATGATGTTTGTTAACGCACCCACGATATAACATACAATCGTAGTATGGGGCAATATTGTTTAACTGTCATCATCTGCGCTGCTCCGATTTCTAAAGGTCCTATTATTTTCTTTAGATTTTCAGAAATGACGGGTCCACCTCGAAGAATAGCAAGGGAAGACTCGAACAGCTCAAGCAGTTGTGACGTCAAAATAGTACCTCTACAGCCTCCACCGAACCTCAAACGAGCGCTGTCCACAGAAACAGAGCTACCCAACAAACATGTGAGGACGGAAACCGTAACGTCGACCTCACTAGACACAGCCATAGACCTTTCAAAGAAGTCCACGGAAGAGAAACCGGTGGTAACCGCGAACTTTTACCAAGAGACGTTGTTAACGGACGAAATGCAGCATAGGAGTGTGATCAAACTCAACCCCACGTACTCAAGCCCTCAGCCTTCCACGAGCTACACGCCCGAACTTCCTAAAATTGATGTGCCAAAGCCAGCCGTCATAGAAAAATCAGTAGCACCTAGGACCCCCGTCACACCAGTAACGCCTATCCTAAATATAGACTTTACAAAAAGTCTAGCGAAACCAGAAATTAAATTGTTAGATACCGCGGCAGTCGCTGCTTTACCTAAGAAAGAGACAATACGACAAATTCATAGGCAGAACTCAAAAACTGTTAGGCCCGAAGTGAAAAAGATTGAAATTAAACCCGTGCAACCGCACGTTGACATAGACAGTTTAAATTCTGGTAATCTACAGATAGATGAAGATTATGATACCTGAGTATGTATGTAAGGTTGTTTTTTGTATTAAGTTGTTTTGGCGCGATATTTTTCATCCGTATTCGATGTTGTAATTTGTAAGTGTTAATTTTTATAATTTTGTGCACAGTTGTCTGTGGTTTAACTATGAGTTGCCTTCTCCGTCGGTTCTTCTAACGTAGACGCAGCTTTATATGAAGTGTTTTACTAAAGTAAAACTGATTTTTTTGCTGTGGTTTGTAACCATATAACTGTTGGTCATTGCCGTAGAATTATTGTAGTCTGTGGTAAGTATACAAATATTTTTTTTCTTTATCCCATCACAGGCAACTGTGTGCATCAAATAAATTGATTGTAATTCCGTGTGTCAAAGCACTAAAGCTTGATTTTAGTCAAGAACACGCGGTATCGAATATTTTGTGTAATATATTTTTAAGTTTTTTTTTGTAATAATAATAATTTCAATGTGGTAATTATTTTGAACAAATACTACATGAATGTATTTAAATTTATTTTCTTACGGGTGATAAATATCGCTGTCCAGTCACGTTGTTTACCAATTTAGTTTTATGAATGGTAAGTTTTTTCAAAATGTAATATTTTTTTGTGATTATTGTACTTTGTGGTATTCGTTAATGTTTGAATCCTCTAACTTGATTCGAAGGGTGACATTTTTATTTAAATTCGATATTTTCTAGCCGTTTAACATTGGGATTTCATTGCAATTTAAAAATATTCAACAATAATTTTCAAATCCCAATGACAGTTAAAAAATGTTGCCAGTACTGAAAAATGTTGCAAGCTCAAAAAATACCCTGAAAATGAGTAACATTAACAAATACCTGAATACAAAATAAATGAATTGACGTTTGTTTTTATGTCAGAATGAAATTGAGATTGTTTATTCTAGAATCACATTATGTCTAACGTATTGTTTTAATGTATGTAATATATTATTTCTTGTATGTGAGCTTGAATAATGAAACGATGACATTAAAATGGGACTGTTAAGTAATTTATGTGTAGTTTGAATGAAGAATGTTGGTAAATGATTGAGTTTTGATTCGGTAATGTGGTAGCTTAACATAGATTTATGAAAGTTTATATTCGTATTGATTTTTTAGGTATGAAGTACCAATAATGTTACTATTTCGGTCTTATGAAGCCTCTCAAATGTCATTTTCCTGACAATTTTTGTTTATGACTACCTCATTAGTTGAGTGATTAGAAGTACTAAGATTTTTGTAATAACTATCGTGAGACATACTAAATTAAATAAAATCGCGGGTTACTCACGTGAATACACTGAGAAAAGCTCTACTAGTTTCGAACCACAGAGGGATTCTCCCTCATGAGCAGCGTGCGCGGTCGGCGCGACCTCACCGCGACCTTTTCTCACTATATTGATGTGAGTAACCCGCGATTTTAGTTAATTAAGTACTAAGATCTCCAAGATATTATTGGATTATATAATTAGTCCTTAATATAGTAGGACATAAATTCCATTTCAGTTTGACGCTATAACTTTTCTTATGACATATTATAATTGGGTTAAGCTACCAACATTGCCGAATTTAAACATTACTTGCAAGAGCTGGAACAAGAAAAAGAATGTAAATAAAGAAATAAAATGATGACAAAACTGAAAGGTTTTTGCTTACCATGTTACGGAGTTGTTAACGGATGGAGTGCGCATTAAAATAGAAACAAGCACATTTTTAATTAAAATTCTCGCTTACTCACGTAATTGTGAAGAAGTACTTGACTAGTTTCAAGCCACGGTAAGGGCTTATAGCCAAAAGCAGTTGGCTGCGCATGCACAATGCTTGCCGTATCGTTCGTCGCGGAACGTCGTTTTTGACTATGAGCCTCTAGCGTGGATTGAAATTAATCGAGTTACCTCGTAAAACAGTTTCGGGAGTACATCAATAAACATAGTCCAATTTACGGTCAATTCAATTACCTAACATGCATTTTCATAAAGAAAAAACAATCATGTTTTTCATATAGTTGACTTAGGACGTTAGTATTTGAGGTAGTTATAATAGTGACGTAATTCAATGTCCCCAGTTAGTCTTTTCAGCACTCCATTTGTTAGCTAATCTGGTGTATATAAAATATTTTAGAATTAAATACGGGATTGTTTAGAGTTAGACGCATGCAAAAAGCGAGAAATCAGCCAGTAGTTTGCAAATAGGAAGATAGAATGGCCAAATTATTTAGTAGGTGACTTATCGACATCAGGGGGCTAGCCAGTCAACATGTCTAATAATGTTGATTATTCATCTATTTTTGTTGATGTTAAATGTAACATCCATACAGATAAGTTTTAAAACATGAAAGTCATAAGAAACTTGTTAACGAAATTAAAGTCCTCTCAATAGAGAGGAATTCTTCAATCATCGAGCATCAGTCTGTACTGTGGAAAGACTTCAAAAGACGCCTGGAAGTGGGATTCATACCTCATTTTAACCACTTTTGGTGGCCACCATCATTAATTATAAAGGGTACCGGATCCCTTGAATAAACTGGCAACCCTGATGAACGTAAATGATATTCGAACCTCATTACTTCGTCCACTCCTCTTCCTCGTTATTGCAAGTCGGAACAGGCATACAATATTATACTTAGGTGCCTCTAATATAAATAATGAGTGGAGGAATTTTGTGAATTATAAACAACGATTACCAGTTTATTTTAACCAGAATTAGGCAGTATTTAATCCAAGCAGTTATACTGAAAATTATCTTCCACAGTTAATTTCTCTCCAAGGTTTATGGTCAACAGTTCACTTTATAACCTAGTAGTACCTACTATAGAAATCACAGAAATATTAAAAAACGAGAAGTGGCAAGGGGGCGTGTCGGTGACGCTCGCAATTGAGCGTTGCGCTCAATGTAGGAAATTATGGCCGTTACCGCGGTTAGTCTGTTGTCACTTATCACCCGCGATCCCACAACAAACGATAAAATACCGCCTTTGTGCCACTGCACACTGTTTTGTGCAGAAATAGAAGTCAAAGCATTTATTATACCTATGAGTAGAACATACTTAGTAAATTCGAGCCCTTATCACAGTAAACGGGTAGCCGTATTATAACTTACCTACCGCCAGGTTACAAAGAGGCGCCGAGAAACGCGTTGCAGTTGGGTAACTGCTCAAGAGTAGCTGCGAAACCAAAAAAAAAATAGGAATGCCTATGAAGTACTTGCCTAGGACGCGCTCTGGGTTTAACTCGTTGAGTACCGTCATTATAGACACAATTAACTCGTCGAGTACCGGTTTTATAGACACAATTAAAGAACAATAGGTGCGGTTTGACAGATTAAACTGTCACCTGTGACCGCTTGGTGTTTGACAGAGACAGACACCGGTGACCGCGACCTATTGTTCTTTAATTGTGTCTATAAAACCGGTACTCGACGAGTTAAAGAACAATAGGTCGCGGTCACCGGTGACCGCTCGGTGTTTGACAGTTTAATTTGCCTCAAGTTTCTCTAACCTAAGTAGGTTCATCTGTAACACCAGATTTCATGAATGTGTTGCCTACCTTGTTATGTAAGAAAATACTTACCTGCGCTTTTTAAGCATCCTGACCTGCTGTAGTTCGCGTGGAAACAGACAGTTTTATGAGGTGGCGTAACTTAATCACATGGGGGTAGGTAAAAATGAAGGTAAGGTAAGACTTACTGCTAATTTTATTCGGATTGGGTACCTATGTCTAGAGTGAATACTGTTTATCTGTAGACTTGTTTCCTATTATAACCGGATGCTAATATACTTAACTGACAAAGGTTGTGTTGTTCCATCCAAACAAAACAGAATGTCGCAAGTCGGAGCCAAAGTAAAAGACGTAGAGGGATCAGAACCCTTGGCATATTTTTTCGGAGGGATCTTTCAAAAGGCGCCAAGCTCTAGGTTATAATGACGAGAGAGTCTGCGATATCTACTTCACTAAAACTACCCCAGTGGCCATAATCCGAACCTACAAGAGGCACAGGGGCCCACCCTTCACGATGCAACGCCAGTTACAGCATATTTTTAGGAGATCTATCTACGTCTCTCTTGTTGTCTTCGCTATCATATCCTCAACTACTGCTGGCAGAGACAGGCCTCGCCCAAACCTAGCAACCAAGACCCGCACTCGACTCTCGCACTCTTCGAGTGTGCTGTGTGAAAGTAACCAATGACCATAAATATTGGAGAGATCTAATTGGATCTAGTACTTTTTATACAGTAAAATATCTACCTACCTAATAAAGATAATAAGACATTGTAGTTACATCCTTCTTTTAAATGGATAAAATGTTTAGAATGCTGTTAATGTAGGGTATTTATACATTTTTGCATGTACGTGTGTACGTACAATATATCCAATATTGTGATTTTATATATAGAATGTTTGATAAATGTGATGGGAATGTTGTGAAACGCAGATTAAATAATCGCAATTTAATAATTAACTAACTTGTACTCGCCCTGTAGGTTGTTTATTATTTCTTTATCTCCATAAATAAATTTTGTATGAGACTATGACGTTTTTTGTCATTTTAATTAATTTATACTTTAACTACCTACTCCCGCGTGGTTTCAGCCGTTCTGTTTGGCTCCTATTGGTCTTCCGTCGTAGCATGATGTTTTAAACGCGATCGCACTAATCTCAGGGACATGGTCCGATTAAAAAAAAAATCTTTTTGTGTTGGATAGCCTATTTCTCGACGAAGGCTATAGGCTATAAAACATCGCGCTACGAAGAACCCGAACCGCGGCTGAAAGTAGCTCGTAATACATAAATCGTCGCTTACTTTTTGACATAATTGTATTTCCAACACAAAATCTGTCAGAATTTTTTGTATATTAAGTACGTATTTATAATTCTGTATGTCCATTTTAAATGGGATCTGCGTCCAAAAATAATAAGCAATATTACATGTATAAAGTGTTTGTGCGTACGTTTGACTATGTGTGTACAATGCTAATGTATATTATATTATGTTGTAAATTATGATTACATAGTAATACAATTGGTGATACATAAATTTGTAGTTTTATTTGTATGTTAATGTCAGTTTTTGTTGCCATTCCAAGAAGTGGAAAAGAGTTCATAAATTCAAATTAAACCAGGGCTACATCGACGTTTCCATTTTTTATGACATAAGCCGGTAAATAAGCAGACGGATCACCTGAGTAAGCAATAAATAAATAAGGAAGGCGCCTCCCATGGACACCTTAAACACCAAGGCGTTACAAGTGCATTACCGGCGAATTGGGAATTTGAGGATTGGGGAGGATTCATGGATTGGGGAGACGGGGGGGGGGGGGGGTAATTGTGCCTCCAGTAACCTCACTCACACAACGGAAGCGTTATTCACGTCGGTTTTCTGTGAGGCCGTGGTATCACTCCGGTCGAGCCGGCACATTCGTGCTGAAGCATGGCTCTCCCACACTATATCGCTCATCATCCGCATTATTTTACATCTATTCAAATTAGTATTGCAAATAATAGAATAATGCTTGAGAGATTGAATCAAAAATATGTTCTTTAAAACACGCGATGCGTTCACGTGGGTCAGTGGCGATTCATCGACACGCCGCAAAGTAGCCCGAGGGCTAGGGTTGGGCACCTTAATTTAAAGCATCCGGTCGCGTTAAAATACCATCCCATAACGTTAAGTGAGATGGACCTACGTCAGAGCCTTGAGGAACGCCATTTAAAATGTTGGTGTAAATTAACTAAAATTGCTATTCATTGATGGGGAAATGCATAATTAAATGTTTTTTTAACTAATCTAATGTTTGAAACAATTAACTATGAAAAGTATAGGAAGTATTTTCTAAACTTGCGATGTGAACATTATCAAAGGCCTTGCAAAAGTCTGTGCGCTTTTATGGTAATACAGGAATAATTTGCGCGTTTCCATATTTGTAAAATAAGTGATTAATTGTGCTTATTAAAAATTCTCATATTGGTCAGGTTAACAGTCCAATACCTTTAGTTAGATAAAAATAAAACCAGATATTTGTCATCATGTACAAAAATATTTCATTTAATGTCGTTATTTAAATTAAATTATTGTTACTTAACAATAACAAGTACTTAAATTACTGCTTATAAATACAAAATTTTGAATTTTCACTTTATAAAACTAAGTTTTACACAAATCAGGATGTTAAAAAGCCAAAATATGTGATTTAAATATCAATCAATAGGTAATTTTAATGAAATATGTAAAAGGAGTTAGCAAAATAGTGTGTAGTGTAAAGTTAATTTTTCAGCCTCTTGACAACTACTGAAATTATAACAAATAAAAATAATGATACTGCATTTTTTTCTTAAAAAAAAAGTATTACAGACATAAAAACCTAGCAAGTTTACGGTAGTACTGTTGGCAAGATCAGGGTATTAAAAATACATAATTAATAATATCTAAGTACCAAAACTTATTTAATTCCATTCAATTAGAACTTCGTTATTTTTCTGAGTAGTTATATAAAAATTCGTGTTGACAAAACTTTAAACTGGAGTGCAGATAAGAGGTCCACAATTTTGAGATTCAGTATTCATATCAAATAACCGATGAATAAAAAAATACTAATATAACATCTTACTAACTAAATGGAAGTAACAAAATGGACACATTTATACCTACATAACAGTCTGTTGTAGTTCTTTCTATCACTTAAAGCTATTATAAAACATATAAGATCCCGTAGTCGAAGTATGGTTTTGTGTTTGGTACACTTATTGATGTATCATGAAAAGTAAAAAGGAAGAGAAATTGAGAGTGAAGGGATAAGTAGGCGACGTAGAGGTAAAGGAGTAGCGGACGGATTACCTGAGGAGGTAACAAGTGCGTTACCGCCATTTTTGAGACATGAGTCACACGGCGAAACACAGCGCAAGCGTTGTTTCACGCTGGTTTTCTGTGAGGCCGTGGGTTGTGGCATGGCTTTGACATACTCTACACTTCAAAATCTAAGTTTTAGTTTTGTAGAAGACATTATAACTAGTATGATTGGAAAAAATATTACATTGCTATTGATAATACATCTAATAAGTCTACCAAACCGCAGAGATATTTATTATATTATAATGTAGATATAAATTAGGATATTGTATTAATACTGATTACATTTACTTATAAAATGGTAATTGATGGCAATTATGTACATCATTGTGGCATGGAATATAATTTAGTTTAAAACAAAAATGTTATAGACCCGCATTTTATATGCAATATCAAAACTAAATATATAATACAACCGATTATCTAAAAACTAAAATAAATTAATTCTAAAAAACTCGTATTACTACTATTTAATTCTATTATGCAACATGCTGCCCTAAATATAATATAAATATATTTTTGAAAACATTTTATTACTACATAAAAATATTTATTAATGAGCACCCTATATTACATAACGGTAAGGCACATTATTGGGCGTTGTTCGGAACACTGCTACAATCTAATTTTGCAAACCAAAGAGACGGAAATAGTCCTAACTTAATTTTTTAAATTATTTTTTTGTACCATAATAAAAGAACCACAGTGCCCCAATATTTTAAACATATTGCGTTAAAGGAACATACTCTAAAAGGAAGACTGAGTAACATATAATTACACATTACAATTAATGCTACACATAATATTACAAAAATGTTACAACACTACAAATTAATATAATTTAAATAGAGCTAATTACTACACAAAACTAAGCAATGTTTGGAATGTATAATGAGTTGGCAGTCTTTTAGATAAGTTTATTTCAATGCAAGAATGGTGTGCTATAGCTAGACCATACATATGACATGTTGACTGTAATTATTTAGATTTATAAACAGCAATGTGTCTATCATATTTCATTCAGTCTAGCATTGTTGTCAGTTTGTATTTTCATTTAATTTCAGAGTGGATGTTTATTGCATATTCAGCTAAACTCATTCCCCTCATACAAACTCTCACACACTTCCAACAGCCTTAGCACAGGACTGATATTGTATGGGAACAGTGACTTAGACACCAGTCTACTGATCTGCAATCTCAACCGTATTAGTACCCTCATGGTGTCATCCAAACCTCTGCTTCCACCAGAATCTGCCTGCTGACATGTCTCCAAGAATTTCGGCCAATTCCTCCTCACATATTTCAAAAACCTGAGTAAATATAACAAGAAACATGTCTCGTTGCTCACCAAATAATCCAACAACACATCACTGTCATGTGATACTACCTTTAGGAATTCTATGAAAGAAGATATTGGGTTCAACATTGGTATTAAGTCTGGATACATTGAGTTTCTGTACACAATCCCTACTGTAATATCAAGAGTGCACACCATGGATTCAATCAAATAGTCATCCTGTTCACTGAACAAATGTATCAGCATTTTCGTAAATGGTGTCTCAGGATGGAACTCAAGACTATTTCTGATGAAAACATCTAGTTTCTTGAGCACATCGCGTATCGATCGTTCTACAATTTGCATATCTTGTATCGCATTGTAATCTGATGAATCTATTGAACTGTCGGAGGAATCGCATCGCATTTCTTTCACTGTAACAGCTACAGATTTGAGAACTAATAATGACATTCTTTGTAGCATTGTTTTGTCAACTTCCCCTCTCGATTGCGGTTCGTCATGTTCATCTTCACCATAACTCTGATCTACAAGTTGAATAGAAGACGATAAAGGCGCTACTTCAGGGCCTAGACTATAATCTCTCAGGATTGTGCATTCATTTCCTAAAAATCCAAAACCACTTCTGCTAGTCTGAACTCTTACATCATTTAATAGTCTGAAGTCTTTAACAAACCTCACAATGGAGTGTGCTAGACAGCATATCTCCTCAGGCAAAATATCTTGTAGCGCTAATGTTGAACCATAACACAGAACTTCATTGAACAAACTGAGTAAATGAGTATAAATTAGACTTGGCAGCACTGTATTTCGTAACAGATCTACAAAGCCCTGCAAGTCAGCATAGAATGGTTTTGTGTCTATTACTGAGAGATTCGCTTTTACACTAATAATATTCTCCCATAGTGAGAAAAAGGTTAGTATACAATTTTCAGCATTTGCTAAATTCAGGTACCTTAGAAGAAGAAGCTTCATGTTTTTTACCAGCACAGGCCAGTGGTGCTCTAATGTTTTTATTGTTAGGCATTTTATATGTGATGTGTCGAAGGATTCAGAGTCAGTGAGCACAACCGTGACACAACCATGTTCATTCACTCTCTCTATCCTTGATTGAGGAGGCTCTGGGGATTCTGATTGTTCCATGTCTCTTTCATTGGATAACTTTAATACTGGCTCAGTTAATCTGAATGTTGATGGTCCTCCTTGTTCTGATGATGTGGAGGCCGCACCGTGTGTTTGTAGATTCGAAAATGCATTTTGCAGGTTACTGTGTGAACTTGAGGGTATGTCATTGCTAGTAGCCCCATAGCCAACAGTACTTCTAAAGGGATTATCTTCCTGCACTTGGACATTCCCCGAGTTAATATAACTACTGTCTTCCAAAGGGTGCTGTTCCACGTCTTTCCACTCGACTATCCTCTTTATAATATCTAGACTGAAGTTTATCTTTTGTACTGTAATCCTATTGATTCTATCAAACAGGTAAATGTTTTCAGCAATTTGCTGGAGCCAATTCTCATCAACAGTATCTTTTGACACTATTAGAAAGCTAGCTAATACTCTACAGGCTACAAATGTTATGAATTTACTCTTATGGTCTGCCAATTCTACAACCTCTGTTATCCAATCATGCCTATTCCTAACAAATATGTCACATGCTTGCATTATCTTTGAACATATGGTGCCTGTACTGTTTTGTTTTAAATATATATCGAACATTAGCTGCATTGTGGATAAATAAGTGAGGGAACATGTCAAAGGCCAAGAAACAATATTGAGTTGTCTGTCAAACAGTTGGGTTACTGCCGTCTCATTAAATCTACATAAACACTGACCTACCAGTGCATCCTGAAGTATTCTGAGCTCAGCCAACAGTTTATCATCCTCCGAACTCCAGTGCGGTGCAGAGCTGGAGCAGGATGGTATGATCTCTACATTGGTGTCGCTTGGAAGTCTCAGGAGACTGGAACAATCGACAGCGTCTTCGCTGACCGTCCCGCTGTCTGGAGACTCACCATTCCGAGTTGGGAACTCCTCAGATGTCTCAGCAGGGGTATTCTCAGAATCAAATATGTCAGTGAGGACATCCTCCGTGGATCGGTCACTACCTTCATCAATATCTGGCGCGTCAATTCGCTGTTTCTTTTTCACAGGTTGATCTGAGGCCATACCTTCATCTAACTGTGGTCCACAAAGGTGCCCTCTCAAAACCATTAACACTCGTCCTGGTTCTCAGCCAAAACTATAATTGGCGTTGTCCGCGCAACACTATTGCTTTTATATTGAGACGTTCATCGTTCTGGAAACAAAAAGGTGAATATGAATGCATGACCTTTCCGTTTAGCTACTCAATTACGCGGGCGACAAAGCCTTCGAATTTTTGAAGGATTACGACATAGCCCGTTGTTATTGACCGACAGGGATCACATTTTAACACATTAGAGATACAATTCACGTAAGATTACACACTTTCAACTGATTTTAATGATAAATTCAATGAACTTTCCAAAATATTTTGATGTCACACATACCATTGATAAAACGAGGTTGTTTGAAAGCTTTTTATCACGTGTGGTATCCATAAATTATCTATAACCATTCACTGCAATCCAGTAATACACAATAACAAACAGTTTTATGTGATATTTCGTAGAAAATTATATAATTATTTCAATTACAACTTGTCGAAAAGAACATCGACTCCATTACGTACAAATGACGCTCGATCAGTTAAGCAACTTTTTTCAAAGGAATTTATTGATGTTTGAAAACTTTCGACCTCAAAATTATTATTTACCGAATCAATAAATAATTATAATATTTATGATGCTCATAAATGGAGCTAAAATACTATAAAATGATATTTTAAAATAATTAATACGTAAAATGTTCTACAATCCAAAGTATTTCCGACTCCACATCCGGTAGAGACGTTGCCAGTCAGACGACTTCTGTGTTTAGCAAACAGTGGCACATTTTTGAGTTGATTTTTGCTCGATTTGGCATTCGTAAGATTAAAATGTTAAGAGTAATAAATCAAATAATACTTATCCAAATAACGATATCAAAGTAAAATGATCATTTTTTTAGGAGACAAACAGTATTTTTGTATTGTTATTAATGCGAATAAAGCATACAAAATTCAAATAGTAAAAATACAAACAAAATTGCACTTCCTATTTTATTTACTATTAACACCTTTGAAAAATGCCTAGGAATTTAACGATGTCGATAACAAAATCCTAAATATTGGACATGGACTTTTATTTTTAGTCGCAGTAAAAAATGAAATGAAATTGATTGATTTGAGTTAATTTTTACGAGTAGCAACACTGCAGTGTACCGAGTAAAATGTCTGCTACGAAAGGATCGAAAAATAATTTAAACAAAATGATTCAGTAGCCATAGCTAAAATCAATTAAAGATAACGGAATATTCAGGTGAATATCATGAAACTGTATTCGTGGTGTAGTATAAAAGTGTAAACTATGACTCATCTAAGTGTTTTTGCATAACAATCGATAGAAAAAATATAGGTTAAGATCTCAGTGGTATTGTGTTCAGTTCTGAGCGATATAAAAATATATTGAAAATAGAAATGCATCAACGGGATGTTACATTAGCAGCACGCAAGTATATGTTATTGTTTATTTATAGTCGCGATGCGGAAATCGTATCGATATGTCATGGTGTTCATTATTCTTTTTTTGGTATAAAAATGTATATAAAAGTTCAATTGTAAGGGATTGCGAAAGCGGTGCAGTATTGTATGACACCCGCAACCTTGCAATCAATGAATAGAAAGCAGTTGTCACCTTTTGATTAGTTAAACAATAGCGAAAATCCGTTCTATTTCCTATTGGCCCTAGGCTGTAGGTAGTTAGTAGGTGCAGTCGCTACAGCAGCGTTACGATTATCGACTTATTTATACTGTTTATATTACTAACTGTTTGTTTTCCTCTTACAATTATATTGTTTTGAAATATAAGCTTTGTATGAGTCATTTGTATGTATATAAAATTATCTTATATGTATGTAATTATCATTTCTTTATCACTCAATCAGGCACGTAATTTACTGTACTTTTTTTTGTTTTTATTCTGGTCGAATATTTGTTATCTATAAAAAAAGTATAAACAATTAGAATTTGTAAATAGAACAGTGTTGTAGTCAGCTTATCAGTAATTTATCAGGGAGATTACACCAGCCCTTTCAGCAACATTTTTTAAGATAAGACTAAGTAGGTAGATACAAGTCTTATAGTATTTTTCTAATTGGACCGGCATTACATCTGTCGAACAATTGTTCCGCATGGCTACCGACAAGGAGAAATACAAGAAGCTGACGGCCGACCTTCAACATTGAAGAGGCACTATAAGAAGAAGAAGAATTGGAACAATAATTATATTTTTTATGAGAAATCTTCATCATGTTGAAAAATACTCTCATTTAGCTATTTATAAGCTGTGACCTTCTGTGTTACAAGATGTGAAAAGATTCAATAAAAATTCTATTTTGATAATTCTCCAGTTATAAAATGATATATCTATCTTGTTTCTACATCTATAATTTTATTAAAAGCTTACATAGTTTTTGTGCCAATTTATTGTAGCATTTTGTGAGAATCATTGTGTAGGTACATACATATGAATCTTTAGTACAATAAAATATTCTAACTGTACTGAAGGTATACAAACATTTTAATACAAACCTCTTATGATTAAAATAAAAAAAGTACAGCTGCTACACAACTCATACCTTTTAATCAAGCACAAGTAATACCACATTCAGCCAACACAAAAACCTCTTTTCAGATGCCGCAGAAATTACAATGGAACACATTTGTGAGACAGACAAAACAATAAGCTGCATGCCTTAAATTGTTTTTAAAAAAAGTAGATTTTTTACATGAATCTCGTAGGACATAGTGATAGTGTAATATGAAGTGATTTATCCCAGTGCTGACATTTAGTGAGTGATAGATGGTTGACGGTCTAAACGGTGCCAACATGTCTGATGATGAGGATTCTTCACCTGATCGGGCGCTGGGACCCACCAACAATGTACCAGGTAAATATTCATAAACTTCTTTTTTCAACAACAATAAACTTAATTGAGAACCCTATGAGATTTTTGTGTCCCTTAGGCCCTGTACTCCTATTTACCTATGTTGTTGGTTAATCTAACTGGCAGATAATTTTTGTATGAACTGTGTCAGTCAAGCCAACAGGAACTTATTCAACAGTAGTTAAACAGGCACATAATAATCAAATTGTTTTAGTTTACACAGCCTTGTCTGAACAAATGAGTTTCACATAACACTTATTGTGCCTAATAAGTGTTATTCATATGTAGGTTTACTAGTATTAACTACAATTATTCGATTTCAATCAATTCTATTATTTCCTCTTATTGCATTGTCCAATGTGATTTAAATACAATAATGTTTACGCTTAACTAGGAATTTCCTTGCACAAAAATGTTTCCAACTTCTTTTCCTGATACACTATAAATAGTACTATTGAATACCCAAATAAGGCAAAGTATTGTTGTTATGCGATTTCAAATTAGGTGGAATGCTAAGCAAGCGTGGTTAACAGGTGAAACATGAAATCAACAACCTTTCTTAACCCGTGGATGCATGCAAGAAAATGCATTTATTTGGCCATTGGCACACGAAAACATGGATCATTACAATATAATAAAACAAATACAGTCAAAATAAAAACAAAACATTAATAATAGATTTTATAAAAGAGAAAGCAGCATGGAGCATTTTTTCTTATGATACATCAGGTGCTCATAAGGATCCTCGAGGGGTTAAATTCATAATCTCTGGATCCATATACTATTATGCCAGAAACTATGGAATTTCTGAGTTGTATGGACAACTAATGTGAAACATAAAACCTAATTCAAAGATTTTAAATTGAAATTATTTATTAATTTCGGCTGTAGTTAAGTGTGCTATGTTTCACCATCACCAGATATCTGATGGCCATATCATAAATTATTTTTCTAAAGGTGCTCCCTCACCGAGATCCTTCATGTGTAATGTAACGTTACAGATCTGAGCATTACATCAGTGAAGGAGGAGAATCGAACATTACAATGTGCATCTTGTAATGATACAATATGTAATATCTTGATACAACTTGTAATATTGATGCTCAAAGTCGAATCAGTATGTTACATTACGCAAATGCTTGCTAGTCAGGGAGGTATTATTGTAATGTAATGCTTAAAGTCGAATCTATAATGTTACATTACACGTGAATGCGTGAGGGTGAGGGAGCACCTTAAGAGTAAAAATAGATATTTTTTCTTGCTCTTCTCTATTGGAAAATTCACTTTAGAACAAGCAACTAGCTTCACTGACATACTGACAGATTGGTAGGCAATTCAATTTTGACATTACAAAAGTGTCTCTTATTTAAGGATTAATTCAAACTAGCTTTTACCCGCGGCTTCGCTCGCGTCACAAAAGGATAAAAAGTAGCTTAAGTGACATCAGTGACATATACCAATACGTACAGCGCCATCTATACCAATACTTTTGTTTTCCCTCGGGAATATCATTTTTCCGGGATAAAAAGTACCCTATTATTTAATCCAGACTTCTAACTTTACGTCTGCAAAAATTTAAAGCAATCGGCTTAGTAGTTACGGCGTGAAATCGGAACAAACAAACAAACAAATTCACTTTCCGATTTATAATATTAGTAAGGATAAATGCTTTAACTTATACCCACCATTACCCATTTCTACATTACCCATTTCTATATGAAAACTTTATATATAACAATATATTATAAAGTTTTCATATAGAAATGGGATAATGTATGTGGATATCTGCAACCTGTTTGGTTTGTATTTACCCAAGCATGTCAACTGAACAGAAAGTGGAGTGTAACTTACACTTACAACTCTAGGTTTTAGTTACATATGTACTACTGTCTCTATTTCCATCATATTTCCTACTGATGTACTTTTATAGTTTGTTACTAATCTAGATAATGAGTAAAGTTGGGATTTTACAGTATAAAATGGTGATATACTTAACTAATTAGAGACATACCCACTTATAACGTCGCGGAGAACCTAACGGGTTACCGGGGCTCCGGCTCGACGTGCAGGAGAAGGAATGGGGTGGTTTTTAGTCAGTAAAGGTCTGACACTCCCTCCCGCCTCACCCAGGCGGGAGTAGGCATACGATGATTTTCCCCTCTTAAAAAAACCCACTTATAACGTGTATTAAAAGTTGATGTATAAACTCAAAATACTATTTCATGACTTGCTACTTTATCTAGTTTACAAACTGAAATGAAACCTAAATACCTAACTAACTTTATGGTGCCCTATAAATGTTTACTACTAAAACATAATGCATTGCAATCTAAACTATCTTATATAATAAGGTACCTGCAATAGAAATTATTTTAATGATAACATAATTGCTTAATTACTTACTTAATTTAAGATTAACAAGATACAGAATACCTAATTAATTTAACAATGTTTTAATTAACACTTTTATTTGAGTAGTTAGTTTTGATAAGATTTGTTAATAGAAGACGAAAAATAAAATTCTAGCTTGAACAAATTAAAAAGTTTTAGAAAGTCTTGACTGTGTCGTTGGTACAGTGGTCGCAAGTGCGACTATCTAACAAATGGTCTCGGATTCGATACCGATAGTATTAAAAAGATTTTTGCGGTTTTCCGAAAATTCTTAGTTGCAGCATTGTGTCGGGAACTGCCCCATGTGTGGTCATAGTCTTGTTTTACCCCCTGTTAAACGAGACGGAGGTCGTCACAGGCGTGACGTCACACCTTTCCTCGTAAGGGTGGCAGGAACGTACATTTTTTTAATGTAGCACATATGTTTCACCATTTATGTTTATTTTTAGAAAGTCTGAATAGATAGTATTTATTTAAATCAGATTAGTGATAGAAATCAAAAACAAGTCTAATTTGCATTGTAGTTTTAAATGACATGGCGAGAATTTGTATGAAACTGTTAGACATCTAACAGTCAGACAGTCCACTTATTTAATACTATTTATTTGTTTAAACTTTTTTGTGATGACTATGATGCGCCTCCTTTGCCATAATCTCAACGGTAGATAGGCGGGATGAAGATCGCGGATTAAAAGGTTTAGGTTTATTAGAGAGTGCTGCTACAGGGTATCTGTTATATAAATGTCTCTGAATTGACTAGCAGGGACAGTAACAAACTGACAGATGTATTTTTCTCTTTTTGGGAACTGTGTCCTTGCTAATAATTGTATTGATGCATCCCAATCATATGATAGTTATGGCCTGCCAACCATCTATATAACTGTGCGCTTCTTCCGTAGATTTCTGCCTCGCACAGCAAAACTGTGGAATGATCTGTCGTCAGCGGTATTTCCGAACCGATACGACCTTCAAGAAAAGGGAGTATTCCTTTTTAAAAGGCCGGTAACGCACCTGCGACTTCTCTGGTGTTGCGGTTGTCCATGGGCGGCGCTGATCGCTTACCATTAGGTGATCCGTCTGCTCTAGCTAGGAGAAATACATACTAAAACAAATACAATCCCGTCTGAGATTTTACCAGTCATTGCATCTTGTTTATCTGAAATCTGAAAAGTTATTTTCTGACAGTGAAGTATTGCTCCGATAAATTCGCGCCAATATTGAACAGATATCCCATTTCCATACGCCTGTCAAAATTTATTTTTTAATTCGCGGCTCTCAAGGTTGTGGTATTCAGTCATACAGCCAATTATCAAACCTTACTATTGTTAGTTAATTAACATTGCAGGCGTAACTGATTCATTGCGTTACCATGTGCGCTTATGATGTATGTATGTACATAAATTATTATTCTTTTTAGTAATGGGATGTCCTTTTTAATTTAGTCATGTTACTTCCTGTTTGATTGTTTTAAGTAATGAGGTTTTTCGTGTTAATGTGCCGGGACGGGACAGTACTGTAGTAGTTCATCGACTTTTTAATAGTTTAGTTTAATATTTGAATTGAAGTGCTGGTTTTAGTACGCCAACCGTGTGCGTGAATATTTAAATAATTGCATAGATTACATCATTGGCATTTTAAAATGTGCAGAGATAATTTATTTCAGATAAAAAATGCTTTGTAATCTGTAATATTTTTTGGTCAATTCAGTTCTAGTTATTGGATATATAGGATACAGGAAGCCTAATACCAATATTCTCAGCATGGAAATGGAATCCAAAATCTCGTTACGCTTACGATCACTACACTGACGAGTCATAACCTTCAATATCCGTTATATTTCGGTTGTAAAGTTCAAATGCCAAAGCTTTTTGGTTTGACCTGCATCCAAATTGGCATAGCACGGATACCCTTCATGGCACAGAGCCTTTGGTGCCTCGCCAATTAGGTCATAGGTCAGGCCAGAGAGCAAATGCATATTCTCCATATTTGCGTAGTTGATGACATAGGTTGAGTTATCATATCGTTCTCGTTTGTGGTACTTCTATTCTATGGAATGGGTTAGCGTCCAGGACATGTAGTCATTTGATAATTTTCCTTTCTTACAAAAACAAGTCATAGTTATTCGATAAAATCTGATCCTATATCTTGATGTACCTCGGGTACGGCGCATCGCGTTCGGCACGCGCCTCAAAGAGCCACCAGATCACCACAGATTGGGCCCAAAAGGGCCGATGCCGATTCGGAGTCGCCGAGAACCTAACGGGTTACCGCGGCTCCGGCTCGACGTGTAAGAGAAGGAACGGTGGTTTTTAGTCAGTAAGAGTCTGACACTCCCTCCCGCCTCACCCAGGCGGGAGAAGTCATTCGATGATTTTCGCCCCTTAAAAAAAATACCTCGATGTAGAACTGTAGCTATCGTGCTATTACTGACAATTTCGTAGTCACTAAACACAGATATTTTTGTTATAATCACAACCCCTATTGCTTTCCAAGGGTTTCGTAAGAACCGATTAAGAAACTTCACGTTTAATATTCCAGACACCAACCAGCGCTCCCTGATAAACCCGAGATTATGGCAAACCTTATTGTCTAGTAGTGAACTTCCACGGACCCATAGGCTGTTAATGATGAAACCCAAAAGTACTTTGTCTAATCTTGGGTGGCAACTTAGCAACTCTTGATCGACAACATTGGTCCATTATACTTTCTTATAAATTAAGCTTGAAGATTCAATCTTGTAAATGTAGAGTCAATGTCTCAAGAGATTTTTAACGGTATTTAGAACGTGACAGGCCTCCGGAACTAAATATCTGTTCCAATGATTTGTCAACAGTTTAAAGATTTTATAAGCTTCGGATATTTTAAGAAAGTGGTGTAAAGTTTTGAACCCATTTACAAAACAGACATGATCGTCATTTTTTGTCCGCCTCGACCGGAGTGATACCACGTCTTCACAGAAAACCGGCGTGAAACTACAATTTTGTTTTGCCGCATAAGTGAAGTTACCGGATGTTCAATCTGTGGTGGCGAAAAGTGGATGTTGTAATCAATTAATATGCACTCCTCTAGTCTATCCGGCTATCCCTTTGGCCTGGGAATGCTAAGTTCCGGCAATAACCTATCAGAGAGCGACCCTGCTTAACTCCATGGTTGGTGCTGTAGCAGGGTGATGAGCTACAGTACAATGTGTCACAGTTTCTTTCTGCTTAAAAGGATTATTTCTTTGAATCGTGGATTGTTTTTCTGGGTTTGTGTATTTGTAGATGCTACCAACCCATGGCATATGTATGTGAAAATCCTAATGTGGGGCAATGTATAAAAATTACGAAGAAACTGTGAAGCCTAGTTAGTATGGTGATATTACGACACACTAACTTGCTTTATGCACTTTGTTTGCCTTGTGACTTCCGAGACGTGTAGATAAGGTATTAGAAACGTCATGTTTACTTTGTCATGGCATTCAGGTGGAAGCTCTGTGCGTATCTTACGGATATACTTAAGTTACGTGTGTTCGTACATAAACAAACGCTTTTGTGTCAATGGGAAGTTGGCAACAGTTTCCATTACCTTCTTGCTGTGGATGTGAAAAAAGTGAATTTATTTCTGCAAATAGGCTACAAGGCAGCACTTTTACACGTCAATTTTATCAAGCGAACGATGAGGTCGATGTTAGACATTAACCCTTTGAGTACCGTCAGTATAGACACAATTAAAGAACAATAGGTTGCGGTCACAGGTGTCCTCGCGGTGTTTGACAATTTAAGGGTCAAACGATACAATTGCTATAAGTGGCGGATAAAGCTCAGTAACTTACCGTGGCTCGGGACTACGTAGTTTTTGCTTAATAAGTCTGACACTCCCTAACACCTCACTCAGGGAGGCAGGAGTCATTAGATTTTTATGCCCTCTCAACAAAAAAGCCATAGTGGCCTTAAGAATTTTTGGTGATATAGAAAACTTTGGAATCGAAATGAACCTAATTCATAGTTATTTTACTTGAGGGGTAAAGTCATCCAATGGCTTCTCCCGCATTAGGTTAGGCATGAGGGAATGTCAGAATCTTACTGACTAAAAACCACCCTGTTCATTCTCCTACTCTTCGAGCCGGAACCCCGGCAACCCGTTAGAGCTTCTGCGGCTACTTGATTGGCCATGAGGTCTGAAATTATACTGTGTACCATGGCGGTTCTCTTAAAAACTAGACTATTAGTGAATGCAATTAGATTCAGAATAACAATATAGGTATATTATATCAATCTTTCTATAATAGTGTTGAAAACACAAGTCTGAATTACTCAAGTGAGTGATAGATCCCCTACAAGTCTCATATATACGACTAAAATAATGTGAAACCGTTTGCTTATCGGATAAACAATAAGTCAACTAAATACTTATCGGGCAATTATTGTAAGTACGTAATCTATGTGAAAATGCGCTTAAGATTTTCTTTTTCAAGGACAGTTAATTAAGAGGAGGATTAACGCGTAAAAAAAGCAAATTCTTTAGATATATGTAGGTAAATGTTGCTTGAACCAAACGGTACCTATCGAATTGCATGTTAATACATGTGTGGACATGTATTACAAATGTATGTTTAGGTATATTCGTAACATAACATCACGCCTTGTTATCCCCTAAGGGGTAGGCAGATTACGGCACTTAATGACACTGTACAATGTAACACCTTTTCATAGTTTTCACTATCAGTGTTATGAGTCCCATGTACCTAATCGGGGGCGAGCCTATTGCCACATACCGGGCACATTTCCAGACTCCGTGCTACTTCTGAGAATTTAAAAAAAAATCCCGATAATAGTTTGTTTGACCCGGGAATCAAACCCGAGAGTCCTTGCCAGTCACACTTGCGATCACTCGACCAACGAGCCAGTCACTTTATTATTCCTTTATCAATTGTTAATTTTATACCCGTCCTTTTGGCTTTCCGCAGTCGGGTAATAAATAATGCCTCGCCTCAAAATTACTAGAAAAGTGCAAACGTTTCTGGTAAACCTTTAGAACTTTGTGATTCGATCTCTTCTGATTCAGGACTGAACGTACATACTGTAAAAAGACATTATTAATTACCATATCAGAAATTATTATATTATAGTACATAAAGATTTGTTTCTAACAATATGAATCTTGTGCTTAGGCATTTAAGGCGATAATTCCATTTTCCTTCCTGTTACCTTATGTTACTAATTAAAATGCCATTTTCCACTGGAATTCAAATCAATACACATATCGAATTAATTAACTAAATAAATGATAATAATATTGTTGTATGCGTGATAGTTTTGCACCGATTCCCAGAATAGGATTGTTCGGTTTTTGTAATCATCAGTAGTAGCACAGTCTGAAGTCTGAAAGTAACTATATGGAAACAATACGGTAGTTGACAACTAGTCAAATTCAATACTTTTATCGAAACGTCAAAAACGATACTGTTCTATGAATTTTGTACGAAATACTAGCTTATGACGTCATCATATTTTCGCGTCAAATAGCACACTTATATCTGAAGAAAATGCAAGAATAAATCGAAAATTAGGTGTATCGGCAAATCAATGAATGAAAGTGTAACTATTTTTCAATATTTAATTGGATTGAAAAATCAAAATAATTTATTTTTGACCCAGGCAACTACCCAATTTGTTATTAAGTATGAGACAACAAAAGCTTCGGCACGAATGAAAATGAAACAACGCTTGCGTTGTGTTTCGTCAAATAATTGAGGTTACCGGAGGCCCAATTACTCCCCCCGTCTTTCCAATCTCCCCAATCCCTGAATCTCCAACCATCCTCAAACTCCTAATCCCCAAAACGCCGGTAATGCACTTGTAACGCCTCTTGTGTTCCGGGTGTTCATGGGCGACGCCGATTGCTTACCATCAGGATCACCTGGATACGTATCAACGTATCCTCGTTTACCGGCTTATCCCATAAAAAATACATGTCAGAGTGTGTGTTATTCATTGCAACTCCTGCGTAGTTGTTAGTCTGTCGTAAGCGAAATTGACTAGAAAACCTCTAATATTTCATAATAAGCAAAGATGCTTATTATTATGCCTACTCCTTTAGGGAAAAACGCGCGAACCACGTGAGCAACAAGCGACACATTTTTTGTTTTTGTAAATTTTGCTTCCCTTTTTTAAGGCACGTGGGGTGTACAGTGTAAGTCTTCTTTCAGTTACCCCTTTCAAACATCGTCATTTAACAAGCCTTCATTACATTATGTCGACCGCTGTAACGTACTATGTAGGTAAAATCTAAGAAGGTCGATTGTTCGCCCTTCTAATTGTTGTATCATCATAAAATTTGGCAGTTGTATGTAGATTTCATGACCATACGATACTACGGTGACATCGAGCTGGTTTGATTATGGTATTAGAAGGCGGCTGTACCTTGAGCTATCTACTAATAAATATACAAATCGAGTTTGGGCTCATTAAATAGGTATGGCCATTTCTTCTGAGGACATCTTTGTCATCACATATGATTAATCAAACGTATGATTAATTCTTTACATTATTAATGTATTACTCTATCCCATATTAATCCAGTTTTTTCTTCCACAGTGCTGGGCATCAAACGTCTCAAACAGATCGAGACGATGTTCATATCCCGACGGCTTCAGGCTCCAAGGACCCATGGTCTTAGCGTGGAGACCCTGGTCGATATGTTGCTGGTCCTATACGACGAATGCTGTAACAGCAGCCTTCGGAGGGAGAAGGCGGTAGCCGATTTCATATCTTATGGTGAGTAGAATAGAATTGGTATTTTTACTTGAGGACCTTTGGTCTTAGCGTGGAGACCCTGGTCGATATGCTGAAGATCCTATATGACGAATGTCACATCGAGTAAAAATAGTTCATGTACCTACCTATGTTTCTGCATTGTAATAGGGTAGATGCCTAATTTTTTATTTTAATGTCCTTTTGGTAGATCGTTTTAAATCATTAGACACTTATTTTTTATTTTCTTACAGAAACGAATACTTTAGACGATATATTGATTTTAAATGTCGCGTGTCGTCACTTCTATGTACATTTTATACGTAGATTTAGCCCCCACTCCTAAACTTTGATTCGTTTTATCTAAGTATTGTATTGTTTTATTATACGAGACAAAATAAAAAAATACGTGTCTAATATTTTCTATCTACCTAACTTACGGACTAATTAGGATTTTTTCATACCCTGTCATCATTCCAATTGTAACATAGCAAGGTCAAGTGATTGATTAATTTATTGGTTTACCCACACTTACTTCATATTTTTCCTATAGTTTACTGGTATGCTCGTGTTACTCGATTCTGTTCTTTGTGTTAATTTATCATTTTGCCCACACATTTTTAAATGCTGAAAGTTTATATTTGTTCTTTTATATTCGCCACATTTACACGTTTTTTGTATTATTTTTATTTGTTTATATGTATGTACGTACTACTGGGCGCCTTAAATTGCTTACTTTTGTGTTAAATATTGTTTCTCAGTAAGCGAATTATGTATCTGATTCTTCATGAGAAATTAAGATATTCTAAACCTAAACCTGAATGCTGTAACAGCAATTTTCGGAATGAAATAGAATTGGCGTTTGTACTAGCTTCAAGATGAGCGTATTTTTCATAATGAGTGTTCATGATTGGCACTGATCACTTATCATCAGGTGATCCGTCTACTCATTTGCCCCTATTCCATAAAAAAAAACACGACAATATGTATTTGCTTGCTAAAATGTCACCCTAATTAATCAACCCTAATTTTTACGCAACTGCAAGGAAAGGGTTGTTTTTGTAGATGTGTTTGTTGCTAACAGAACAATTAAATGGGAAGCCATTAAATTACTTCGCCCATGGTTAAAGTTTAGTGTTTTTTGCGATTTCCATTTCTAACAGCAAACAGGGGGAGAAATTCTAATAATCGAAAAAGTTTCCACCGATGAGGAAAGGAAAATGGATATTTTCCTTTCCTTTATGGATATAAAGCTTGTGTACGTACTGTAAATTATGGAAAGGTACCTTATTATTTTTGAGACGTTGCTATGTTGATAGAAGCGTAGTAAATCTCTTATTGACCCAATTTGAAAGCGTTTCAATTGAAGTGTTCAATTGAAAAATGTGCCCACTCCATAGACAAAATTATTTTTCTAATTAGATCGTAAGCTGATATGAATGTTAATATAAAAAGAAAGCCCGTGAAAGCCGTTGTAATGCTTTGCTTTTATCTTAGCTTTGAAAGAAATTGAAAGAAAACCTACACAGTGGTTTCTATAAACGAATTCAATACGATTTGCTAATTAAAAAATGTATTTAAAGAGAGGACCTCTACACACGAATTTCTTTCTGTGAAGAAGTACGTAATTACGGAATAAGATAGCTTGAGTTTTTTTCCATGTCTATTGGGTTTTTGAAAGATTGTCAGTACGAAGTCTAAAATTGATGAGTTTATGACAACAAACAGCGGAAAATCTGGGTGTAAATGTCTGATTTGGTTTCTATAAGTTATAACTAGGGAATCAAATCTCGCTAGATTGGAGCTTAAACGAGATCTTAAGAATCGCGAAATTAAGAAATAATCATAATATTTGCATAAATTAGGAGAAAATAGTAAGTTTATAAAATACCTACACATTTATTTTGTTTGACTTTAATTTTCTCGGAAATTGGAACAAAAGAAATTGCGATTTTTTATCACAACGGTGGTAAAAAAAGCAAACGGCCCTCCTGATGGTAAGCGGTTACCGTGGCCCATGTACGATTGCAACAGTCGAAGGCAGAACCTATGTTTATTATGAACTTAGTAATTTACTAGTTCTACTTTGACGTACGTAACAATCGAATAGCAAATTAAAGAATCAACCAGTGTTCTCTTCTAATATGAAAGTAAAGTTTACATACATGTAAGTTTATATAGGGATTTATTTTATGTAAGTCTATACTAGGTCGTGGTGGCCCGGAGGTTTAAGACGCCCGCTTCTCATGCATGAGGGTGCGGGTTCGAAACCTACCAACGGCAAGTACCAATGTGACATTTTACGAGTTAAGTATATATGTTTCTTGTATAGAGATTATCTAGACACCACTGACAAACGGTGAAGAAAAACATCGTGAGGAAACCTGAGCTTGTAATTTCTAATTATAAGTTTGTAATCGCCAATCCGCATTGAGCAAGCGTGGTGATTAATGCTCAAACCTTCTCCGTGTGAGAAGAGGCTTTGCTCAGCAGTGGGCATTTATAGGCTGTTGATGATGATTGATGATGAAGTGTATACTACGTATTTCTGTTTAGTCCTAAATACGCTTGCTTCTTGCATCGACCATTGTTTTTGTCTCTGCATCACCCAAAGGTCTGGCTGGACGAGAATGCCCTAGGCATTAAGCCCACCTTGTACATTAGTGTGCGCATGAAGTCTTTTAAAATAATAAAATAAAATAAAAATAAAGCAATCTCGTTAATCTTGCGAAATACTTATATCGTTCATCGCAAAATATGGGCGATTGCATTCCCTACCGAATTTTTTAACTTAAGCGTAGTAGACATAAAACACATGAAGTTATTTTGTCTATTTTGATTTCATCGTTGATTGAGTATGTAGTCGGTTTCTCAGTGTATTATGAAAGTTTTATTGAGTTTTTTGATTGCAAAAGTTTTAAATAAGTTATTGACATGGTGCTTTGAAGTTTCAAACTGGAACGGTGTCCTATGTATTAGCTATAATTTGGCTCTTGTATAGCTATGACCGGCGGCTTGGCCCGCGTTATCAAAAAAAGAAAAGTAACGTATTGGCCAGCTTCAATAACCTATTAGATCTATCTTTAAATTTGCTTATAGAGATAGAATTTTGAAATCACTCTGACTACACTTTAACCAGATCCCAGACAGAGAAACTCAAACCCTAAACTTGCGCGATTACTTAAAATGTTACTAAGGATTATGATTGCTTCGTCAAGTTATTTATGGTTAACGTGTCTTACTTGGTATATCATTTCATTGCTGACAAAGTATTATTGAGTTTTTTTTTATTACGAAATTCTCGGTAATAAACTAATATCACGAGGCTTTGAAGTTTAAGCCTAAAACTGTACTAAGCGTATAGAAACTCGATATCTTATTTTGAAGGACTTATAACACAGATAAATTCTCCGAAAAGAGAGATTTACTATTAGTTCATGTTCATTTTGGTCACGTTTTGGTATCAAGCAAATGTGACTAGCCTTTTTTTACGAGGTGAAAATTATCGAATGTCTCTTCCCGCCTGGGTTAGGCAAGAGGGAGTGTCAGACTAAAAATTACCCCGTTCCTACGCCTGCACTTTGAGCCGGAGCCCTGGCAACCCGTTAAGCCCTCCGCGGTTCCGTATCAACATCAGCCTTATTGGGCCCCATCCGTGGTGGTCTGATGGCTCTTTTAGGCGCGCGCGGAACGCGACACGCCGTACGCTTAGGTCTGATTCTGGTCGGGCGGCGAGCTACCCATGCTGGCCGCTGCTTCTTAAAGGAAGAGACGGCATCCCAGTCCTAAATGTGACTAGGCTATGTTTTTATGTAGGTATGACTGTTTCTTACAGAAGCCTTTCTTAAGTATCTTTCATAACGTAGCTGGGTAAAACTTTACTGATGACTTTCCAACCGGCTCGCCAAGCGTGAAGATGGCAAACATCATTTTTATAAAGGTAAAAAATCTTAAAACTGGTCGACCCGGGAATTCAATAGTACTTACAACAACGATTGATCCACAGAGAAAGACTGCTTTCTCTCTTACACTGAATTGATTATTGGATCAAGTTAAACTCCCAATATGTCTTCCCTAGTAACTACTACAAACTTAAGTAGATATTGGTAGCTAAATCTACAAATCTACATCATATTGATATTACATTACTTGAGCAAAGAATACGTGATCTATCCGCGATTCGTAGGGATTGCAAACAATCAGAACTGTGTACAATGAGATCTTAGATTCGTGACAAGAGCCATAATATTGCGCTTTTGTTTCTTGAGCTGTAGGCTGAGGTGTTGAGAGGCATGTTATAACTATGTACGACACATTTTTTGCATAAGTATTTTCAAAGTTAGAGTAATTTTGAAATTTTAGCTATTAGTTAGTCCATTGCTTAACTGCCTTCTTTATGAAGAGTTTGCCATATTTTCCATAATGGTCAGGCATGTTTAAAATCGCAGTAAAAGGTTCATGTTTATAAACGATCGCTGCTACCAAAAATGTGGGTTCCTACTATATTCCCGGGTTAAGTAGAGATGGTGTCTAAGGTTTCTACTCTACTGTCAATTGGCTGGTCTGTTAGTAATTGTATTTATTATAGTATCTCCGCAAAATACAGAGTACAAATTAGAAATAACAATTTTAAAATCGATAAACTGTTGCGTTTCTCAACCTGTTGATTGAACCGCTAACGTCGTGTCTAACAACCACACTTATTATACAGCCAATCAGGCTTTTGGTGCTTATTCCTTAGAGATAAGTACCACTTAAACCCAATAAAACCTTTTTTAATTTATATAAGATCCTTTTTGCAAATAAACCCGAAATAAACGTATTTGTCGAGCAAAGATTACCCTCTAATTACTCCCCAATAAGCTCTAGAGCCTATCGATATAATCCGATAATCGATTTGAACGGGAAACTAAGAAGATTGGCCTATTAATATCACGCTTCTACGGCGCATCCTCAGTTGCTATCGATTGATCAAAATTATATTTAGATGAGGAGCATCTTAGACGGTGCTTCGGTATCGCGGCCAGTCGATACTAGTCACATCTCTATTGCCTTACATGGAGGGAGGACGACATCGCGTGTTCTTTTAAAAAAGTCCTTTGAAAATTGTCAAGTAAGAATTAATTGATTTATTTATTTATTCTTTGAATAGTTTTAAAGGCGTTTTGTTTCTTATTGATTTGCTTTAAAGGTTTAACGGCTTTAGAGGTAAGTTATCGATGATAGTGATGGGTGTTGTTTAGTAAAAAGTCGATGGTTTTTTATTTATGCGGTTTAATAGCGAGATAAATTAATTTGTAACCTTTGCGTTTATACAGTAAGTCCTGAATAGTTTGTCTTGTCTTTATTTGGTAAAAATTAAAGGGTTGAGCGTGGCAGCTATCCCTCTCCTGAGATACTAAGGCAATAGTGGTTTTGATTTCTGAAATAAACAGTAGTCATACGGGTTTATATTCGGAATTTTATACATTTTTTCTCGCGAACAAGTGAAAGAGACATTCTAAAGAACTTATGTAGGCGTTTCCATTTACCCACGAGTTACTCAAGACGAGGGGTAGGTAGGGCGTGGTAACATTTTCTTATAGGGAGCGAATTTTTAACCCTCATCATTTCTACTTTTTATAATTTGAATATCAACAGTTTTAAACCTCGATATGGCTTCCCAAGGAATTACTTTTTTAATTTCGTGAAACCTTTGTAGTTATCCCTAATTCCCTTAGAGGGGCGGTCCCCTTCGCTCTTCTTTGTCTATGGTGCAGCGTTGAGTATAAAAGTCGATCAAATAGGTTTATTTGAGGAGTTCGCCGTTTAGACTCGATGGAGACGCACGTCTTCATTATGTGTCGTGGATATAAGGACTTAGTTCTGAAGAACATGAAAGTTTTATTTTTGAATATGGTGGGGCGAAAGTTAAAATTATTAAGTTTTAGGTAAATCATTCAGTGATTTATTTATTCAATGACTGCCTCGTTGGCCGAGTGGTCGCAATTGCGACTGCCAGGTAAGGGGTCTCGGGTTCGATTCCCGGGTCGGGCAAAGTATTCTGGGTTTTTAAAAAATTCTCAGTAGTAGCACGGAGTCTGGAACTGTGCCCGGTATATGGCAATAGGCTCACCCCCTATTACATGGGACTCATAACATAAATAGTGAAAAGTGGGTGTTACATTGTACAGTGGTATAATGTGCACCTCTGCCTACCCCATCGAGGATAAAAGGCGTGATGTTATGTTATGTTATGTTATTCAGTGATTTTAAAACGTTTTAATTTATAGAGAGGTTTGAATAAATCTAAGACTAACTGAGATTTATGCTTCTTCATGGATATTGGCTGGACGCTCTGGCGATTTTACGTTGTTTATCCAAATTTACTTTGATTTTATTTCAATAGATATTTGTGGTTTTTATTCTACCTATACATTTATTATATTTCAGCCGCGATCATCCCACTGCATACAAAACTTTTCTACCATTTGTCGCTATTAATAGTCGCATAAAATATTAAATATAAAAACAATATTTAATAATAATAATCCTTTTTTTTGTCCCAACAGTAAAACCAGTGGCGACGGCGCTGAAGAGACTACGGTTGTCCCGAGATGACTTCGAGCTGGTGAAGGTGATTGGACGTGGCGCCTTCGGAGAAGTTTGCGTCGTCAGAGCCTCGTTTATGCAGGTACAATAGTTTATGTGGATTCTTGATAACTTTTTTCCGAGTAAATTTAAATTTTATTTAATTCCATTATCGGCCTAATACTGAAATAGTAATTTTAAGTTGTTCTTAAATATCGTGCCATCTTTGTCATTTTACAAAGAATTTGTTGCGACAGAACTATCATTAAGCGCGACGTAAAATTGAGTGTAGTTTGAGTATTTCTTTAATACATCTTTTATTTCCTACCGTCTGAAGTAGATTAAAATCAGGATTGAAAATCTATTTTACTGTATACAGCATTAATGTTTTATGTGAAGCGACAAACTAATAAATTATTTGATTTAACTGGATTTGACTCTTTTTAATGTCTAGATTTCTTTAACTAACAGCAACTACGAGTTACATTTTACGATTGTTTTATCTTTTTTATTTAGGTCTATTATTATTTCGAACTGTTATAATGAACAGATTAGAGATATATTAAAGAAGGGCGAAATTTAAAATACCCTTAACAGACGAACGTGCTTAAAAAGACTTACGCCCGAATACTGAAAGAGTACTCAATTTGAAGTCGCGCTTGAGTATAGTTCTGTCACTACAAATTCTTTGTAAATGACAAAGATAGCACGATATTTAAGTGCAACTTATAATTGGGTAGCTTCCAGGGTATCAAAATTAAAAATCTAATTAGTCCGTCAGTTAGATAATGAAAAAATATTAGACACGTATTTTTTTATTTTCTCGTATTAAGTTGCAATACTTAGATAAAATGGCGCTAAGTTTAGGAGTGGGAGGGTGTTACGTCATAACGTGCTACAAAATGTGGCACGCTGTGACGTCACACGATATTTCAAGTTAATATATCGTCGAAAGTATTTAATTTTGTAAGAAAAGGAAAAATACGTGTCTAAAGTTTTAAACTAATGTACCAACTAGATGGACATTAAAATAAAATTTAGGAAATTTGCCTATGAGTAGCCTTTCAGTATTCGAATCTAACATGAGCGAGACAAGCGTGAGGTGATGTATTATATATATATGAGGTAAAATGAACAGTATGGACCAATATGGGTAGGTTAACGAGCGAAACTTCCAGATTGGTGCCAATCCTGGGCGTCATTATTGTTCAAGCTCATTCCACGCACTTGTCGTATCATTTTTCATATAAAATTTATTTATTTTGTCACAGGGCACTGATGGCGGTAACCTAACCACTTCGACTACGGGGACCACGGGCACTGGAGAACGTGTGTACGCCATGAAAATACTCAACAAATGGGAGATGCTCAAGGTATGTTATTGTTTTAAATTAATGTAATTTTATCTTTAGGGTTTGGTTTATACTTGGAGAGTCATGCTTTGACGCGAATGAGCCGGCTCGACCCGAGTGATACCACGACCTCACAGACAACCGACGTGAAACAACACTTGCGTTGTGTGAGTGAGGTCGGAGGCCCAATTACCCTTTCCAAATCTTCTCACCGGGGTTAGGGGAACCCCAACAATCCTCAAATTCTTAATCCTCAAAAGGCCGGCAACGTACTTGTAACGCCTATAGTGTTTCGGATGTCCATCGGCGGCGCCGATTGCTTACCATCACGTGATCCGTCTGCTCGTTTACCGGCTGATCCCATAAAAAAACAGTAATTTGTTTGCCATCTTAAAATCGTTGTGGATAGGTAATGGATCGAAAACATACGTTTAGTAGCAGACATGTATCATTTCTAATGAAAAGGTCTACTTAAAACAAATTAAAATTTAATAGGATAGGCTGGCTACGTCCCTTGTGTATTCTTTCTACGTACATTGTGTACGAACTAGTGACGTCATTTGATATTTTATCTATTTAATTGAATCGCCCATAGAAACTGCAAATAATTAATCCTTTGAGTACCGTCATAATAGACACAATTAAAGAACAATAGGTTGCGGTCACGGGTGACCTCGCGGTGTTTGACAGTTTAAAAAAAAAATGAGACTCGTTTAATATTTCTACAAGATGGTTATTAAACAATTGACTGCACGGTTGACGTGGTGGCTGGGCAACTGACTGCTGCGAAACGTGTCGCAGGTTCGATTCCCACACGAACAACTCTGTGTGATCCACACATTGTTGTTCCGGGTCTGGGTGTTAAGTACCTATATGTGAACTTGTATGTTTGTAAACGTACCTACGACACAGGAGAAAACCGTAGTATGGAGCAACGTTTAAAAAAATGTTGTCTACAATATTTCTATGTATGTGTGTATGTTGTCAGAGGGCGGAGACGGCGTGTTTCCAAGAGGAGCGCGATGTCCTCGTGTTTGGTGACAGGCGGTGGATCACAAACTTACATTACGCCTTCCAGGATGAACACAACTTGGTCAGTATATTATGAAACAACAGATAAAATCAAACTATATTAAGTAACAAATTAAACGTTTTACCGAAGTAATTTTTTCGAGGATCCTCGACTAATTTCAAGCTACGCCGGAGCTTATGAAATTATTCGAGAGTCGCCAAGTAGTAAGCAGTATGTTTTAATTGTGATTTTGGCCTTCTTGATTAAGTTTTCATAAAGAGCTCGTCAAAGTACACCACTGGAGTAAGGCCTTCTCTGCAAAAAAGGAGTTTGCTACGATTTCCAGTTTCACACTTGGCAAGTGGATTAAAGATAATTCCAGTGAGATGTCTATACATAATACATCTCTTTAATCACTTCATCATCAACAGCCCATAAGTGGCTACTGCTAACCAGCCTCTTCTCTTGCGCCGAGAAGGTTTGAATATCACCACACTTGCTAAACCTTCAACTTATGATTAGATATTATAAGCCCAGGTTTCCTCACGATATTTTCACCGTTTGTCAGTGGTGTCTAAATAATCCACAAAGTACAATAACTCGGAAAAATTCACATTGGTACTTGCCGTTGGTAAGTTTCCACCCGCACTACCCTATTGTTTAACCTTTTACTTCATCTTCTAGTACCTGGTAATGGACTACTACTGCGGCGGCGACTTGCTGACGTTACTATCGAAGTTCGAGGATCGTCTCCCTGAGGACATGGCCAAGTTCTACATCGCTGAAATGGTGCTAGCCATACAGAGCGTGCACGAACTTAGATATGTTCATAGGTATGTAGTTTTATGTATTTTAAGGGTTCATTTTCATTGTTATTGACTGCCTCGTTGGCCGAGTGGTCGCAAGACTGCCAGGCAAGTTTCGATTCCTGGGTCGGGCAAAGTATTACTGGGTTTTTACAAAATTGTCAGTGTGAGTGTAGTAGCTCGGAGTCTGGAATTGTGCCCGGTATATGGTAATAGGCTCACTCCCTATTACATGGGACTTATAACATAATAGTGAAAAGTGGGTGTTACATTTTACAGTGGCATAATGTATACCTCTGCCTACTCCTTCGGGGATAAAAGGCGTGATGTTATGGTGTTATTTCCTTTGTTAAATTTATTCGCACGCGAAGGAGAAAACAAGAAAGATATTGGTCGAATTTAGGAAATTTCTCGGAAGGTGAATGACAAAAAGAATATGTAAGATAGTCCTTGCCATAGGGTGGAACAGTACTAAAAATATTTCTGCTTCTTCTTGGTAATCCTTAACTGGTTTTACTGTTTTGTAACAAAACAACCCTATCTTTATGTAGTACCGGGAAATTGGGTTTGGCCTTCCACGTAAAACACTCTGGTTTAACCCTTGCCCTGAATGTACCTATCTTTTATTTTTCCTATTTTCTATTTTATCTTTTGTTATATTTTTGTTCCTAAAAAATATATACTAATAAAAACACGGAGCAAAGGTCGGTCATCCATGTACTTAATAGTAACATAACATAAGGCCTTTTATCCCCGAAGGGGTATTCAAAGGTGGACATAACGGCACTTATTGCCACTGTATAATGTAACACCCACTTTTCACTATTTATGTTATGAGTCCCATGTAATAGGGGGTGAGGCTATTGCCATATACCGGGCACAATTCCAAACCGGTGCTACTACTGAGAATATTTAAAAACCTCAGTAATACTTTGCCCGACCCGGGAATCGAATCCGAGACCCTTTGCCCGGCAGTCGCGCTTGCGAACACTCGGCAACGAGGCAGTACTTAACCCCTCGAGCGTCCTTATGAGCACCCGGTGGATCATAAGGAAAAATGCTCTAAATGTCACGTTAGATCATAAGGAACGCGGACGCTCGACGGGTTAATAATATATTGTGGTAATATAGTAAAGAAATGAATACTATGCAATAGAAACTGCTCTTGCTTGCTTTACATAATTCTGTTCATGAACAACCGGTGATAGCCTACTGCTGAACTATGGGTCTCTACGTTAAATGATTTTTATTAATTATTTTACTCTTTCTCTCATAGGGATATAAAACCGGATAACGTATTACTAGACGCGAGCGGTCACATTCGTCTAGCAGACTTCGGTTCCTGTCTCCGGCTTGGAGAAGATGGCAAGGTGCAGAGCAATGTGGCAGTCGGCACACCTGATTATATCTCGCCGGAGATATTACGGGTAAGATAGATACTGAAGATACTTGACAAGATATGTGTATTGGACGTAACATAACATCACGCCTTTTATCCCCGAAGGGGTAGGCAGAGATGTGTATTGAATAGTTTGAAAATAAGACGATAGTAACTTCCTAGTCCTTTTACAAAACTCGGACTGACTCGACTGCACGGTTGGCGCGGTGTCTAGGCAACTGGCTGCCGCGCAACGTGTCGCGGGTTCGATTCCCGCACGAAACAACTCTTTGTGTGATCCATAGATTGCTGTTTCGGGTCTGGGTGTCGTGTGTATGTGAACTTGGTATGTTTGTAAATGCACCCACGACACAGGAGGAAATCCTAGTGAGGAGCAATGTTTGTAAAAAAAAAGATTCAGCAATGCCTCTTAACTTGGTTTGACATCATCATGTCAGTTACTGTAATTGGATTTTTCTGCCGTTGTGACTTAAAAAAAAATCATCATAAGCCTATAAGTTTCCACTGCTGACCAAAAGCCTCTTCTCACATGGAGAAGGTTTGAGCATTAACCACTTGAATACACCGATATGACACACAATAGAAAATACATTGTGTCTAGCGTGGATCCACGTTCAGACACATGAGGGGTTAGACAAGACATATTACTGGTATAACAATGCGAAAAATGATAGCTAAACATTAACGTCTATAAAATAAGTTTAACAACCATGTTTTTATCTTTGTTTGCAGGCTATGGAAGATGGTCAGGGAAGGTACGGGCCGGAGTGTGATTGGTGGTCGTTGGGTAAGTGCTTTCGTTTTACTAATATATCTATACAAATAAAAATGAATTTCCGTTCGTTAGTCTCGCTGAAACTCGAGAACAGCTGAACCGATTTGGTTAATTTTGGAATGTTTGAAATGTTCTTGGAAAGTTTTTTAAGGTTTTTTAACGTAGTTTATGAAATAATTATTAAATACTAGGTGACCCGGCGAACTTCGTACCGGCTATAAATTTTTTTTACCAAAATTATCCAAGTCGGTTCAGCCCTTCTCGAGTTATATCGAGACTAACGAACAGATATTCGTCATCATCATAACATCACGCCTTTTATCCCCGAAGGGGTAGGCAGAGGTGCACCATTAAACCACTGTACAATGTAACCAGCGCCGTAAATAGGGCGGTGCCAGCGGTGCCCAGGCACAGGGCGCAGACCCTGGAGGGGCGCAGAAATGACAGACTGTAGACTGTACTATTTAAATCTTATTGAAAAATTTTACCGGTTTTGTGAAGAAGCTGCTTAAAGTGCCAATAATTGGGTGGTTTACCCTATATCCACCTTAAGTCTTGCTCGCAATATTACATACACAAACAAAAGTACCTATACTATAACTTTGGGCGTCTGTGCCCGCGGCGCCTGCGCCCGCGGGGCGAAACAAAAAAAGGAGAGGCACTCCATCCCGGCAGGCTGGAGTTGCAGCAGCGGCGGTGAAACGCGCCCCGCGAGCGGAGGACGGCGGTGGGTGGCAAATCGCTGGTGAGGCAAGGAGAGTCGTCAAGGAGGGCCGTAAGCGCCGCAAGAAGGCGCAGCGGCAGCGACGGCAGCAGTAGCGCAGGGAGAAACGGGCTGCTGCCTTGCTCCTCGCCCCTAGGACCGCGGCTGTAGTAATTATGTCATGGAGGAGGTGGAGACGTACTCCGACCACCGTTATATCCGGTTCGACGCCTCCGTCGAGTCCGTGGACCCGCCGGTCAGAAAGGCCCCATGTGGCCCGCGCTGGGCGCTGAAACAGCTGGACCGGGAGCTGCTCCTGGAAGCCGCTATCGTGCAGGCCTGGGTGATACCACCGGTCAGGCCTGCCGACATTGACGATGAGGCCAAGTGATTCCAGGATTTGTGAAGTGGCGATACCCCGGATCCGATCGAGGCAACAAAAGTGCCAGGTGTACTGGTGGTCGCAAGAGCTGGCAGCTCTACGCAAGACGTGCACTGCTGCGTGATGCCAGTACACTAGGCACAGCAGGCGCCGCATCCGTCCTCCGAATGCGGAGGCGAGAGAGGCGGAGTTGTACGAGGGATACAGGGCGGCGAAGGCAGTCCTCAAGGCGGAAATACTGTGGAGGGGCTTCACCTCTCCGTATATGACCCCTGCGGTGCCCGACGCGGCCTATAGCGACGACGACGACGACATCGTCTCAGAGGTGACCGAGGCAGAACTGAGAGCGGCGGTATGCCGGATGGGCGCCAAGAACACCGCTCCAGGACCCGACGGCTTGCATGGCAAAGCATGGGCCCTGGCCTCAGAGGCTCTCGGGTCTCTACAGCGCATGCTTGGAGAGAGGCCAGTTCCCGCTGCTCTGGAAAGCGGGTAAACTGGTTCTCGTGCGGAAGACGGGGCGCCCTGCGGACTCTCCATCCGCGTACCGGCCCATAGTGCTGCTCGACGAGGTGGGGAAAGTCTTCGAAAGGATATTTTCGAAAAGCCTCGTCGCGCACCTGACGGACATTGGGCCGGACCTATCGGACGGCCAGTTCGGCTTCCGCAGAGGGCGCTCCACGGTGGACCGGGCGACGTGGACTTCGTTGTAGCGGTGTCTTTGGACATCGCCAACGCCTTCAACTCCCTGCCCTGCAGCTGCATCTTGGAGGCACTCCGATATCATCGGGTGCCTACCTACCTCCGTCGTGTAATCGAGGCTTACCTGACGGACAGGTCCGTCATTTACCCCGGTCACCGGGGCGAGTGGAACCGGCGAGAGATGTCACAGAGGTGTTCCACAGGGTTCGGTTCTGGGGCCGCTCCTGTGGAACATCAGCTATGACTGGGTGCTGCGCACCGACCTCCCGAACGGCGTTAGCATCATATGCTACGCCGACGACACGCTGGTGCTAGCGCACGGGAGGTCGCACCAGGCGGCGGCCGACTTAATGGCGACAGCGGTTGCGATAGTTGTTGAGAGAATCAAGACTCAAGGTGGCGCTCCACAAGTCCGAGGCTATGTGTTTTCATGGCCGCGGGAACGCGCCACCTCCGGGTGAGTCCTAAATAACGGCGGGAGAGGTTACCATCGGCGTCGAGACGACGATGAAGTACCTGGGACTCGTCCTCGACAGTCGGTGGAACTTCGTGGAGCACTTCCGATGTTTAGCTCCAAAGTTGGAGAGGACGGGGGCTGCGTTTAAGCGCATCCTCCCCAACCTCGGGGGACCAAACGCCTCCTGCCGGAGGTTATACGCCGGGGTCGTGCGGTCCATCTATGGCGCCCCTGTGTGGGCACCAAACCTGATGCGGCAGCCCGCTGCGGCGCTGCTCATGTCACAGAGGGTCATGGCGATCCGAATGATCCGCGGATACCGCATGATCTTCGGGAAGGCGGCGAACCTCCTTGCCCGATTATCGCCGTGGGATCTGGAGGCGAAGGTGCTCGCGCGCGTGTATCGCATGCGCGCGGAGACACGTCGCCGGGGTGAAACTGCGCTGCCGCGTTAGTGCGTGGTGGGAAGAGCTCCGCCGCGATCTCATGGCGGAATGGCAGCAACGAATTGTCTTAAAACATCTACTAAGTACCGACCTATAACTTGGTACACAATAAACAGTTATATTTTCATGCACATTTGTCCATTTTATTGTCAGAGCCTGGTAAGGAAATTTTTCAAGGGCGCAGTTTTGAAAGCTAGCACCGGGCGCCTAGAAGGCTAGTTACGGCACTGAATGTAACACCCACTTTTCACTATTTATGTTATGAGTCCTATGTAATAGTAGGGGGTGAGCCTATTGCCATATACCGGGCACAATTCCAGACTCCGTGCTACTACTGAGAATGTTTAAAAACCCAGTAATACTTTGCCCGACCCGGGAATCGAACCCGAGACCACTTGTCCGGCTGTCACACTTACGACCACTCGGCCAACGAGGATATTCGTATTTATTTATATAAACTTTTACATGTTTCTTAAATTTTTCTGTAGGTGTATGTATGTACGAGATGTTGTTTGGCGAGACCCCGTTCTACGCGGAGTCTCTAGTGGAGACGTACGGCAAGATCATGAACCACGCGCGCTCCTTCCACTGCCCACCTCCTGATGATCATGCTGCACAGGTATGGTGTTACAGGAATTTCTTTTTCTTAGACATACTACGGGGCTTACTCTTGAATCCAATTCTGATAGAGATTGGCATTGTAAAATTTTGTACTATTGAATAGAATAGAATAATTTATTTTCATTGAATGTAGGTACATAATATAAGGTCTTACAAAGGTATATCGTTCCTGGTACATTCTACCATATGGCATGCAATTTTTTTTTAAATCTTAAAAGCTATGAAGATATTAGACTATGTAAGTTATCTATAAGACTATTATAATTATTAATGGATAACATAATCCTAATATTATTTGAAAATTTACAAAATTCACAAAATATAGCTTAACTCGTCGAGTACCGGTTTTATAGACACAATTAAAGAACAATAGGTCGCGGTCACCGGTGACCGCTTGGTGTTTGACAGATTAAACAACTTGAATTGCAACACTAGCGCCCATTGCATCCGTATTGTGTGGTTATTGAATAAACTCGATGGTACTGAGTTTGGCTTTATATTCCGTACTCTGAATGCTATTTTAACAGCTTTGATTGGGGTTGTATAGAATCGACATTTGGCTGTATAAGCACAATAAATCTCTAACTACGTTCGTATTTTTATTTTTTTCCCTGTTTCATTTTAGTGTTTCAATTTCGAGCGAAGGTTTTCAAATCAATTATTATGTTTTTCGTCTTACTCACGTAATTATTTGACTAGGAACGACTAGTTTCAAGCCTGCTAGAGGCTCATATTCATGAGCAGCATTCTGAGATCAGCGACTGTTGCGTTGCTACTGGTTTTAAATTAATTACTACTTTATCTGTCGGGACGTGAGACACAATAGAAAACATCATCAACCGCTTCATTTCTCTGCACTTCCCTATGGTTGACTGTCAGATCCTTAAGGCATTAAGTCCGCCATTCACTGTTATCTTTGGTGAAGAAGTAATAATAAATAAATAAATAAAATAAAACACATTGTGTCTCGCGTATATCTACGTTCCGACATACCACCGGTTTGGATAAAATATAAATAGAATATTAAAGTTTTGTATTAATTGTATCTTTATTATTTTTTTTATTTATAGGTTTCAGAAGAGGCGAAGGATTTAATCCGCAGACTGATTTGCTCTTCCGAGAATAGATTAGGAAAAAATGGACTGCAAGACTTTAAGGTGAGACTCATTTTAAATGTTATTCACGTTATTTAGCATAATTGTAAGCGACACCTCTGATGTTGCAGACAAAACTACGATATCTGCTTTGTATTAGGCACACCGTAAGCCTGTTTGGGACGGAGCCGCGGAGGACTTACCGTTGCCGGGGGTCCGGCTCGAAATGCAAGAGTAGGAACGGGGTGGTTTTTAGTCAGTAAGAGTCTGACGCTCCCTCTCACCTCACCCGGACGAGAGAAGTCATTGGATGATTTTCCTCCCCTCAAAAAAGCCTGCTTGGCATTTCAATTGTAAAAAAACCACTCTATGATTGTCACTTCCCATTGATTCGATTCATTTGATAAGTAAATATGTGATCTAATTTATTGAAGAAATAAGCTATTTATTGTCGATATGTCTTTATTTATAATTTATTATCAACACTGTAATATTTCATTTTACTATTTTCAAATTATTAATAATATAATAATTTTCTGTCAGAATCACCCATGGTTCGCGAACCTGGACTGGGAGAATCTCCGCGAGATGCAAGCACCGTTTGTACCGGACGTGTCCAGTCCCACCGATACTTCTAACTTCGATGTCGATGACACTGATATCAGGTAAAGTATACATTATCGTAGGGTAGGTTTGTATTTGATATTTTTTAATTACTAAAACGATAAAAAAATAAACCTACGTAATATTTTTGATCAGACTCAAGTCAACTCTGAACGGAAGTAAGTTAAAAATGTATTGGTATTTCATAATTGAAAGTACTTATCTATGTTTTTAAATGGTTTGAAGTTAGACGCGACTTAACAGTACACACAAAATAGTGGTTGCGTTTTATCTTTGTTTGTCATGAAGTTTCTTTTTCTTTTTAAAAATGTTGCACCACATTAGGATTTTCTCCTGTGTCGTGGGTGCGTTTACAAACATACAAGTTCACATACACATCACACACAGACCCGGAACAACAATTTGTGGATCACACAAAGAGTTGCTTCGTGCGGGAATCGATTCCGCGACACGTTGCGCGGCAGCCGGTTACCCGACCACCGCACTAACTGTGCCGTCAGTGCCGCGTTTAAGGATTAATTTTAAAATTCCAATGATAATTTATGTTGAAATAGAAGAAGAATGAATGAAGAAGAAATCAATTATATTCATTTAATAAATACACACTATTTGACTAAAGCTCCTTTAATTTCTTTATATATATAATTTATGAATTATGACTTGTACTACGCAGTATAGTATATCCAAGTGCACTGGCAGGTTGTCGGAGGCAGTCCCCCCGCCGTGCGCGTCGTCCGCGTTCTCGGGGCTGCACCTGCCCTTCGTGGGCTTCACCTTCACGGCCGGCTCGCGACTGTCCGACCTCGGCGCGCCCGCCAGCCCGCTCAGTCCTGCCAAGAATGCTCCTAGTCAGGTAAACTTAATATCATTGTCAATAATAGTATGACATAGAGACCACAACAATCTGGAGAAGCTTGTGGTTAACGGGAAAAGACCTCGTGTTCGTTCACCTCCCCGTTGGCTAGATGCTGTAAAAAACCTAACCGGCCTGACAGTTCCACAAGCCATAAAGACCGCAGGAGACAGGGGCACTTGGAGGAGGGTTGTGCATCAAGTGACGTATGCACCAAACTAGACACGACCTTCAGTGATGAAGAGAACGACTAATAAAAATAAATAATAGTAGTTAGCCCACCAAATTTGCAATGGGCGACATTGATCGCTCACCATCAAGTGATCCGTCTGGCTCGTATGCTTCTGAATCCATAAAAAAATGGGCGTTGCCATTTTTGCTCACCAAATGGCGCGTTACCATTTTTGCTCACCTAAAGGCGCAAATATAGGAAAAGGTTATTTTGACCAATCACAGCAGTTGTCAAATATTGAACGTCTAATGGTGTGACACTAGCTCATTCCCCATTGGACGAAGAACGAGAGGTGCACACTAGCCCCATCTGGTAAGCAAAGATACTATAGGTCCCAACGTGAGGGCCATCCTTTGACACTAGTCAAGCCGCAGTGATACCACGGCCTCGCAGAAATCGACGTGAAACCAACCTTTTGTAACGCCACTGGTGTTATACATTTCTACGGACGGCACTGATTAATTATCATTAAGTGATCAATCTGCTCATATTTTTAATGTGTAAATTTTAATTAATATTTACGTACAAAATGCAAGCATTAATATCGTCCGAAATATTCTTATAAAGCTTAGCAATAATGTGTTCAATTTTTCCCAGGCACCAAGTAACGCGGGCGATCGTGCGGCGCTAAAAGCTTTAGAGCGAGAGAACGCGTTGTTAGCTCAGACCATCGCAGAACTAAGAGCCGGGGGCGCTGCGCCAGAGGGCGCTAGTGGTAAGCTATACAAAAGTAATATATACATAACATAACATCACGCCTTTTTATCCCCGAAGGCAGAGGTGCACATTGCGGCATTTAATGCCACTGTACAATATAACACCCACTTTTCTCTATTTATGTTATGAGTCCCATGTAACAGGGGTTAGCTTATTGCAGGCACCTGGCACAATTCCAGACTCCGTACTACTACTGAGATTTTTTTAAGAAACCCAGTAATACTATGCCCGTCCCGAGAATCGAACTCGAGACCCCTTGGCCGGCAGTCGCACTTGCGATCACTCTGTCAACGAGGCTGTCCGTAATATATAAAGATAGATAAATACAAATAATAGTCTTAAATTTAGTTCGGAATTATTCAAGTTTCTTTAACGACAAATCTAAACAACTTTGATATATTTAAACCAATGTCGCTACAATTTCAAGTATAGATAAAATTTAGATTATATTCATAATCTCAAGTTCTTACTGCCACTTTAGATAAATATTGATTCATGTCATACCTTGCTTACCATTTCACTATTTAGTAGTAATCGTTCATTTTTGTTATAGTATTAATATAAGGTGTTGACTAGTGTATTATTTACTTAATTCACATCTTTATTGGCTAGGTTCAACAGACTTGTCTTTATAGGCTAAGCTACATTTTAGTCTAATTTAGGCATTAATATCTATAATGAATTGGTAATGTAACCTTAAATGAATTCCACAGAAGATTTAATACAACTGAAAGAAGAATTGGCGACGTTATCGAAGAGGAATGCTGATTTAGAGGCTCAAGTTAGATGTTATGAACAATTAAATACTGGCATTAGTACGCAGGTAAGTTGTTATTGTGATTTTTATTGATTTAGATAATCTATATATATATAAATGAAACCCGTTTCCCGTTGTCACACCATAACTTGAGAACGGCTAGATCGATTTGGCTGATCTTTTTTGTTGTGTTTGTTATTGTCAGGAGAAGGTTCTTACGACAAAAAAGTCCTGAAAATCCTACAGGAACGGGAGAAAACGGGACTGCGCGTACGAAGTCGCGGGCAGAAGCTAGTGAACATTATTTTATTCAAAATTCAACCAAAATCAAAAGATATACACAATATGGCTAACTTGTAGCTATTGATTAAACACACTATTCATTATTCAATACTGATGAAATAAATTATAATGAATGTAGCAGTCTTAAAAGATATCGAATTTTCTTTACCATTTTGCGCAAAAAATCGTTTGCGCAAAATTTCGCACAACTCACCCAAAACAAAACTCCAACCTCATTTGTCCTATAAACTTATTCAAACATATATTTGCGCGACTTTTTTAGAATCGTTACACAAAAACGTAATTTTAACACCTTTGCGCACCTTTATACATCTTTGCGCAACTTAATACATCTTTGCGCAACTTAATACATCTTTGCGTAATTTGATACATCTTTGCGCAACTTTATACATCTTTGCGCAACTTTATACATCTTTGCGCAACTTTATAAATCTTTGAGCATCTTCAAACATGTTTGCACAACTCTTTTTAACACATTTTCCGATGGTACCTATATGGCACAATTTGGAATTGCGTAACCAATATCTGTTTAATTCTTACAATTACACATATTTTTTGCTCCACCTATTTATATGACCAATAACATTAATTCTTAGGATATGCCAGCGACCCCACAAGAGATGGCGACACGTATCCGTGAGATGGAAGTCATCATCCAAGCTCTGAACATGGAGAAGGAGGAACTATTGAAGGACAAAACTGATTCCGCTGAGAAACTTAGGCTGCAGGTAATGTTATAATTTGGTATTGAGTATTTGATATTTTGTTCTTGATAGTATTTTGCCACGATTACCTTTGGATATGTCCGAGTACAATTTAAACTGTCAAACACCGCGAGGACACCGGTGAACGCAACCTATTGTTCTTTAATTGTGTCTATAATGACGGTACTCAAAGGGTTACGAAGGGTATAACATGAGTCCTTAAGGCCCGAGTGAATAGTTGGCTTATGGGACGACGTGCTCCATCGTAGACTGCATTATCGCTTACCATCAGGCGAGATAATGGTCATTTACGTAATATATTTGTATGGTACTCTTAGAAGAATTTTTTAAATAGTATGTTTTCGTGCTATTGAAATCTTGGTGCGAAAAGAAAGATGTTTAGTTCATTTGTTTCTAGAAATCTCAGTCACATTCTAAGGTTGTCGTGGTAAATGACTTCGATTCTGGGTATGACGTAATCTGAACATGTTCTCGTACGTATATTCTTTGATACAATGGTGACATGCCTAGTATTTAGATGATTGCTTCTCCTCCTACAGGACAAAGAGCTAAAGGACGCACTATCACAACGTAAGCTTGCGATGACGGAGTACAACGAGGTCACTGAACGACTATCTGAACTCAGGCAACAGAAACAGAAGCTCTCGCGGCAGGTACGATATCTTCTATGTTTTTAAAAAGAATAGCATTGTTAGGCGTGATTGGATACGCTTAAACTGTGTGTGTGGTGAGTGATATAACGCTTGTTTTTTTTTCACTAAGTTGTGTTGTGTTTCGCTGTGTGAATGGGGTTATAGTTGAATAACCTCCCCGCATCACCGTTTTTTGACTAGGACGGTAAAGGGGAGGATTAGGCCTCTCGAGATGTAATAAATAAGGGGTCATCCATAAATTACGTCACACGAATTTCATTTTTGTCACAGCTAGACCCCCCCCCCCCCTAGTGTGACGTCACATTTAGCAGAATTACAGTATAGAAACTATTGTTATTTTTGTTTCCACTTAAATTACTTAAAAAAATATGAATGTCAAATCAAACAATTAACAAAATAAAAAACAATACAATTATATTTCGTATTTTAACGTAGATTATAATAGTTTTTGATATGTGACATCACAAAGTTTTGGATCCGTCCCTCCCTCTTGTCACACAATGTCACACTTCGTCGAACCCCTCCCTCCCCCATTAAGTTGTGACGTAATTTATGGATAGCCCCTATGTTGTGTTGTGTTTCGCTGTATAAGTGAGGTTAGAGTTGAATAACCCTTTTTAACATAGGACGGTAAAGGGGCGAATTAGGCCTCTCTGGATGTAATAAAACGAGAGTGTGGATATAATTAAATAGTTTAATACTTTCTGTTATTTGTAGGTCCGCGACAAAGAAGAAGAGTTAGAAGTGGCGATGCAGAAGATAGATGCGTTGCGCCAGGACATACGGCGCGCTGAGAAGGGACGCAGGGAACTCGAGGCTAGACTCGACACTGCTATCTCTGAGGCTACCAAGGTACTCTCTTTACTTATATTGCTGTAAATATTGTAATATATAAGTATTTTTAATACTACTACTGCTCTTAATTGATCAAAGAAAATTTTGAAGTTGTTTAGTAAATGAATATTATTATCTTCTCTGGCGTCTGATTGTCGGTTGTTTGTTGCATAATTAGGTATTGAGAGTTCTTTCCATTCTTTGATGACCATTAAGAAGAATGCAGTGATCTCCAAAATTCTTCAGATTATTAAAATTGTATAATAATCTGAAGATAATTCTTAATTATATTAAAGATAAAGATATAATTTTGGAGCCCTTTACTCTAAACTACCCTACAGGGTCAGGGCTGTGGATGACCTTGTGTTACCGGGGCATCGGCTCGAAGAGCAGGAGTTGGAAACAGGGTGGTTTTTAGTCAGTAATAGTCTGACACACCTCTACCCTCTCAAAATATAATTGTGTAATCGTACAATGATGGACCATCATCGCAGGAGCGCAAGTTACGCGAGGAGTCAGTCCGCAGCGCGCGCGTGGACAGCGCCGCGCCGCCCGCCTCCGCCGCCGCCGACGTCGCCCGCCTGCAGGCTGAGGTCGACACTCTCGAGGTCTCGTCTACACTTACATTCCTTACTTCACAGAGTTAAAACCTAATTGCCTAAAAAATATCAGCAATGCACTTGGTGTTGCGGGTGTCTCAAGTTGCTACCAACTAGTTTTATCAACCATTCAATAAACTGCCTAGCCGCCTACCTACAAGAATTTGATGTTTGGCAATGCCATCTTGACAGTTGAAGAATGTCAGCGCTAGAGGGCAAATATAAAACTAAATAATCATTGATCCAAATCATTTTGTGTAATAATTTGCCTAGCTGAATCAGTAACTATGCTACGCTGTTTATTAAATAAGCTAAGCTATTGATTGACCCGATGATTAAGTCAGTTGGCGCCGGTGTCTATTTGAGTATTTCGTGCAATAGTAAAACTTGCTCAGAAAATAATAATATGACTACTAAATTATCTTTCATTATAAACAGCTACAATACAAGGAATCGCTAGCGCAGCAACAGGCGCGGTTCCAGGCGGAGTTGGCCGCGCTCAATGACCAACTGCAGGAGGGAGACGCATTGCGCAATGTTCTCAATAGAGAGGTACGTATTTTTTAAATGATATAAAACCTTTTAACATCAAATTATTGAAGTTATTGATAATAGAACTTAACTAGAGTCAATTAAAATTAATGTGCATAGTAGATACTAAAAGCATTTTATTTTTAAATATCGATGTCATTTCTCTCATAATATAATATTCAGTTCTAACAACTAATTACTCAAATATCTTACCAACTCTCTCTTGACTCAGTCAAGCTACATCATTGGTGTTCCACAAGGTTCAACTTTGGGTCCAACGCAATATTTCTCATACGATTTTATACCCATTTACTTTTTCATGAAACTATAATATTATATTATTACTACGTAACATCACGCCTTTTATCCCCGAAGGGGTAGGCAGAGGTGCACATTACGGTATTTAATGCCACTGTACAATGTAACATCCACTTTTCACTATTTATGTTATGAGTACCATGTAACCTATTATATGGTACTCAGTTTAAATAGGTGCTACTACTGAGAATATTGATAAAACCCAGTAATACTTTGCTCGACCCGGGAAACGAACCCGAGACCCTTTGCCCGGCACTCGCACTTGCGACCACTCGGCCAACAAGGCAGTATATTATTACTATATTAATTTATTTCTTGTTACAGTTGCAAACATCGAAGGAGAAGTTAGAAAGTCGTCGGCTGGAGCAGTTGTCAGATAGTGAAGACAAACAGATGCTTATGAACGAAAACCGGAAGCTCGCCAAGGACCTCGACGCTGTGAATAGCAAAGTCTATATTTTTTACTAACATTTTTATGTAGAATTAGGTCCTTTACTAACTTGTCCCCAGATTCCGTTTAGGCGATCCAAAATAGGATATTTTGATTATCTGGCATTTTTGATTGAGTAGAATTCTCGGGTTCAATTCCTGTATATAGCAAAAATCCTCGGAGATTGGATTTTGTTCATGAGTACCTAGGTCTTATGTATCACTAAACACAGAAATGGCAAAACAATAAGAAGATATAATACCTACTTCTTTAATATGGCAAAAAAATGGTTTATACTATATTAAATAATTAGGACACTTTAGCATACCCCTTCCGATGGTAAAAATACTTCATGATTTTATAGTGCACATTGAATTGCTTACCATCAATTCATATGTTCGTTTGTCCCCTTATCCCACAAATAGTACAACTCTTCTAAACATCCTCTCTATTGTCGCCAGTTGGCAGAAAACGGTAGAAGATGGCAGGCAGAACGAAGACAGATGGAGATAGAGTTGGAAGAGTTGAGAGCTAAAAGAGATACCATGCAGCATTGGGAGACACAGGTCAGTGATGTAAGTTCAACCCCTACACTTTATATTTAGATTTAAACACAGTACACACCCTTTTCTGGCCCATTAACAACCCCCACCAACCACATAACCCACTGGGACCGATATTGTGAAGTTAAACACGTTACTCACTTTTCCTAGTCTTTTAACCAACTGGAATGTTGTTGAATCATGAAGTCAATGAAAAACTGGAATTTTGGAATCTTGGAATCTTGATAGTGTAATTTTAATAATAAATTTGCACGCCACATATGGCCGGATACGATGGAAAAAATTGCATTGTATCGTATTTTAGCAAATAAACATTTTTGATTTGATTTGATTTGAGACCATTTCGTGACTTCTATATCCGGGTTTTGAGTGAATAGGGTCTTTGTATAAGACCTGTTAGATATCTTCTCTATGTCATAGAGGCTAGCAGTTCAGTGCCTTTAGCCAAACGCCACTTTAGCGCTTGTCTACAGAGAGAGTAGAAATCAAAATGTATGGGGATGACACTGACAAGTGTCAAAATTTACGTCAATTCCATATAATTTGGTTTTCTATTCTATATGTAGACAAGCGTTAAGTGGCATTTGGCTACAGCTGCAGGAATAGTATGTCAAGAGCTGGTGATGATGATGATGAGATGTCTTTTGGATCTCTTATGTGTTGTTATTAGTCATGATGTTAGCAAAAACTTATTACGGATATATACGAACTAACATGGTCTTAAGAATGCATATCCCTTCACAGAATGTCCAAACCAATTCGTAGAATGTCGATTTTTGCTCCAATAATCTCGTTTGACTTGTTACCGTTATTATTCTCATTCAATCTTCTCACTTTACCCCAATTTCGTTTGGGCTCGCTGCCATTGCAGTGGGCTCGCTGCCATTGCAGCGGTAAGACCCCTCTTTGAGGAGTGGCTTGAGAGACGCTACGGCGTCCTCACCTACCGCCTGACGCAGGTCCTCACCGGACATGGAAGTTTCGGGAGGTACATGTGTCTGATGGGGCGGGAGGAAACGCCCGGGTGTCATCACTGCGAGGACCGCCCTGAGGACACGGTGGAACACACCGTAGCGGAATGCCCTGCGTGGGCTGAGCACCGCCGTGCCCTCAGGGAAGTGATCGGCGATGGCGACCTCTCGCGTCCGGGCCTAGTGCAGGCCATGATGTGGAGCGAGGGGGACTGGGATGCCGTCTCCTCCTTTTGCGAAGCAGTCATGCTAGCTAAGGAGGAGGCGGGACGCGTGAGGCAGCGAAGCGCTGCCTCCTCGCAACCCAGCCATCGCGAAGGACACACCGGGCGTCGGGGATCGCGGGACGATCTCCGGCCACCGTAAGCGCGGGCCTGCGGACGGCGAGCATGGGTGGCTCCCCGTCCGACCAGAAACAGACCCGAGCGTACGGCGCGTCGCGTTCCGCGCGCGCCTCAAAGAGCCATCAGACCACCACAGATGGGGCCCAATAGGGCCGATGCCGATTCGGAGTCGCGGAGAACCTAACGGGTAACCGGGGCTCCGGCTCGACGTGCAGGAGAAGCAACGGGGTGGTTTTTAGTCAGTAAGAGTCTGACACTCCCTTCCGCCTCACCCAGGCGGGAGCAGTCATTCGATGATTTTCCCCCCTTAAAAAAAAAAAAAAACCCCAATTTCGTCCAACATTGTCATTGGATAGATTTTATCCCTACCAAAATCAGTGTCAAAGGAACTTTATTACGTAAGCTATATGGTTGCTTTTTGTACTAATTATTATTATTATCTGCCTCCTATAGATAGCCGACATAATCCGATGGGTGGCTGATGAGAAGGAGGCCCGAGGCTACCTACAGGCCCTCGCTACTAAGATGACTGAAGAATTGGAGTATCTTAAACATGGTGAGTTTTGGATATATTGTTTTATTCCCTTTAAGTTGTACATTGTTAAATTACGAAACACAAAAAACACAGCGGTTCTCGAAGTAACTATTTTATAAGAACTTAACATTTTTGACAAAAATTGTCATTCAGAGCAAGTTCCATTACTGAGTTGGAGATCAAGGCTTGCATTGATTTGGTGATGTTTTCACAAGGGAAAAGTAGTACTTTTTGTATTACTTTTCCCTTTCGTATGCGACAGTATCCTATATCTACTTGACATACTAAAGTATGATATACTAATGTATGTCAAGTAGATACCTTTATCTCATTATGGTATCATATCTAAAACATAAATGAACATTAAAATTTTGTCTGTCCACAGCGAGCGCCTCTCGTTCCTCGCTAGTAGTAGCGTCGTCCCCTCCGTCGGGCGGGAATGAAGCGCGCGGCACTGGCGGCTGGAGGAACCGACGCTCGCAGAAACTGGACAAGATGGAGATACTAACGCTACAGTCCTCGCTGCACTCTGAGATACAGGCCAAGCAGGCTGTAGGGGAGGAATTGTCTAGAACTCGGGCTGAACTGCTTGCTAGTCAAAGGTTTGTTCAAGTCTATAACTTTCCTTCGGCGAAGTTTGCTTTTCTTATGGGGAAGGTTGCATCACCTAATTGCGAATTATGCAATAAAGTAGAGGACGTACAACATTTGCTAATGGAATGTGCCAGGAACAATAATGAAAGGGAACCATTAATCAGAAAATATAAGTTGAATAAATTAGATGTTGGCCTAGTTCAAAACATTTTAGCAAATCCTAAAACGAAGATAGCAAAGGAATTGTGTGAACTGGTAAGAGTGACATAACTTTTCTTTTATTTATGTCATACCTTGTTAATGATTCCCTTTCATTTACAGAGTATATTTAATTAGATAAGGTACGATGGGGTTGACGTATCCATACGGATAAAAACCCCCTAAAACAATAAAATTAAGGAGATTAAAAAAAAAGTCTATAACTTTCTATAACTATCAATTGCAATATTATGATGGAGCGCGTATACTGTTGAAAGATATCTTAAAGTTTTGATAGCTTGATATTGATATGTAATAAATTTTATTCATACATATCGTCCTGGCTATCATCCATCGGGGTAGGCAGAGACAATGAAACACACAAAACTTTTCTCTAACTTCATTGATTTTACATTTATTCCTGGGCTTAGACTTAACTAGATTTAGCTGAATCGAATATTTAAGATTATACTAGACTACGAGCGTAAATAAATTTACCTACATTCAATTTTATTACGTATCTGTGACTCACCTTAAAAGAATTCACTATAATATTCTTCACTTTTCTCTTACACACATTACATTATACAAATCTTCAACTCTATCTATTTTATTCTATAGTTATATTTCGTCTTGGTGTCGGGAACCGTTCAAGTAAGCCCCTTAGTTTTGCCCAACTGTCAATCTCTACTGATTGATACTGTTACCAAACGTAAGTTTTATATTGTAACTGAGAATGGGCATGGATTTTAATTCACACGTTACTGGTATGGTACATTACCAAAACATCGCTCGTTCAGTTTTATAAAATCTTTTGCAATTCATACTTTACAGTACATGGTAGATACTCGTGTGAATTTGTTATATTTTTTTCATATTTTGGATAGATAAACTTAACTTTATTGGAGTTGAAATACTTTTTTTATGGGATAAGCCGGTAAACGAACAGAAGGATCACTTGATGTTAAGGCGCAATCGGCGTCGTGCATGGACACAAAAAAAAAAAAAAAAAGCGCAGTCGGCGTCGTGCATGGACACTTGAAACACCAGAGGCGTTACCGGCCTTTTGGGAATTTGAGGATTGTGGGGGATTCGGGGATTGGGGAGACTAGGGAGGGGGCTAATTGGGCCTCCGGTAACCTCACTCATACGGCGAAACACAACGCAAGCGTTGTCTTATATTGGTTTTCTATAAGGCTTTGATATCACTCTGGTCGAACCGGCTCTCCCACACTTATACATACATATTTGGGAATTGGTGTTTGATTTCATTTATTTTCGCAATATTATCATTACAAGCTGAATGCATTTCATCATAAGAGTGTGATTACCTCATTTATTCGCAATCCCATTTTCTCCCGTTCCCGTAAGATTTTCAGATTTTTTTCTATCATAAGAACCTTCTCCTGACAATAACTAACACAACAACAAAAAAAAACAGCCAAATCCGTCCAGTTATTCTCAAGTTATGGCATGACAACGGGAAACGGGTTTCATTTTTATCTATATATATAGGTAGATGAAACGATCTTACGAGTCGTCCCATCGAATTTTTATAGAGTGTTTAATGGATTACTGACAATTTACTTTCTTTACATTATTGTACTTTAAGGCAGCACAAATAGAATAGTTCTTTTTATTCACTGATGCTCAAATTGAGTAACATTTCAGAATTCAAAAAGTGTATTTTAAACTGTCAAACACCAAGCGGTCACCGGTGACCGCAACCTATTGTTCTTTAATTGTGTCTATAAATACGGTACTCGACGAGTTGCCACCAAATAACTGCTAAATTGATAACACAATAATCCACAGAGAACTACTAGAAACCCGACAACGATTGGACTCCCTTGCGCACGATATGAAGCGCAAGGAGCAACATATACGCGACATGCAAGCGAGGCTCGACGCGCCGCACCAACCCGGTAACTCCTGTGAGTATTATATACACTATATATTATTATATATACGTCCCAGAAGGGGGTAAGCAGACATGTACGTGGCTAGTTGTAGTAGAGAGTAATACTTATAGTTATCATGAGGTTTCAAAATAATTGTCATATTTTGAAGCTTTCCGTGTTGTTCTCAGTTCTTTCATTGGAAAGTGATTCTTATTAGCTTGGCTATTAAATTGGGTAATTGCCAACTAGTCAAATTCAATACTTTTTTCAAACTGTCAAAAACGACAGTTTTCTTTGAATTTTGTACGAGATTGTGTATTTTGACGTCACGTTTTTTAGCGTCAAACAACATACTTATTTTTTAAATATTTGCTGATAAAGTACTAAAATTAAGTTGATCATAAATCAATTAGTAAATGTGATTATTTTTTAAGATTTTATTGTATTGAACAGTCGAAATAATTTATTTTTGATTTAGGAAAGTACCCAATCGTGCGTTTGAGATTGTAACAGGAAGTGAGCGCCATATTTAAGCGCCGTCTCTGAGGGCTTAGTAGTTAGTAGTAGTAGAAATGAGAACGCGTTCGGCGCTTTGATTGGTTGGTTCATTGACACCGGCCAATCACAGCGCCGTACGCGTACTCGTATCGAATACTTTAAACGTAAATAAAATTCGTACTATGGCTTCGGAGCTGTGCTTTGAGTCTTATACCGTTTAATTGCTAGTCTACAGAGAGAGTACAAAATCCAATATATAGGATTGACGTAAAGTTTGACACATACCAGTGTCATTCTCATACATCGACGTGCACTTTCATATTCATTTCCAAAACGTTGTTTAATTCAACACATTAATTGTTATTGCCTACCTCGTTGGCCGAGTGGTCACACGTGACTGCCGGCTGGTAAAGGGTACTCGGGTTCGATTCCCGGGCCGGGCAAAGTAAGCTGGGTTTTAAAAAAATTCTCAATAGTAGCACGGAGTCTGAAAGTGTGGCCGGTATATGGCAATAAGCTCACCTCATCATAACATATATAGTGAAAAGTGGATGTTACATTGTACAGTGGCATTAAGTGCCGTAATGGGCTCCTCTGCCTATCCTTTTGGGGACAAAAGGCTTGATGATATTTATTTGTTATTTATTATTTGAAACGCAATTTGTGTAGTATACTTTAGACAGCTACAGCCAATGTCATTGCGCTACTGTTACGCTTACCCCCAGTGGGATTATTTGGGACATTGTATTTTATGTTTTTTACTAAATGGGAGTTGAAAAATGGCTTGTGTACTTGCTCACGCGCATCACTGTTGTGGCACAGTCCCTTGGACAATGTAATTATCACGCTTCGGTTTACACTGTAGGTTTTGGGGTTCGAATCTGTTTTTGATGATTTTAAATTGTATTTCAAGAATGTTTTAGTCACCTTTTTCAACTCCTAATATAAGCTATAAAAGTGGGAAGTATCTGAAGTGCTAATTTATTTTTAAATAGTGAGTAATGGTATAATTGTTCAGTTATTTATCTGTAAAATATTTTCGAAATAATTAAAAGATACTTCCGAAACACGTATCTTTAAATGTATAAGCACTAATAATAATAATGTTTATTTAGTGCACCATTTCTTTTTGTTTTCGTTACATGTTACCGCACATTCCTACCCTATACACAACTTTCTGAAAATGAAAAATACCGCCATCCTCACTTTTACTGCAATTTTACCGACAACGGAATCTTGGCTCCCACCTCAAAGTTCAACGTCGACCGCGACGAAAAAAACGGAAATAACGAACTTTTTTAAAAAAACAATGCACGTCACTATTTTGTCTTTTTTGATTGCGAAAATATGTGAATATGGACTCTAATTGTGAACGAAATTGGAACTGTGATTTTATATTCCAAAAAACTTTTTTTTATAAAAAAAAATTGTTAACGAAATTTTTTATCTGTCCGGAAAATTTTTGCTTTGTTTTTTTTTGTCTTAACGAACATGTATTATCTGTGGCATTTAATGTTTTACTATAATTATAAATGCGTCTAACGCTCTTTTTTATCTGTTTTTAACTACGTATTGGTGTATTTTTCTTGTGTTTTTTTTATTGTGCTGTTGGTATTTTTTTAATATTAGTTCGAGTTTGGTTGAGGCGCAACATACCTCTTTTCATAGGCGTGACGTCATGTATATGGGGTGTTGCCATTCTTGTGTACCATCATATATACCCCTGATATTTATATAGATTTCTATAGCCACTTTAATTTGATGCAACTATTTATTACTTTTATGTTAGTTAAAAGTGCTATAAGTACTGTGGTGTCATCATTTCACAGCTTTAATTAATTTGAAGTGGAGCAGTTGACCCAGTGTTTATTTTTTGAGCTCGATGTCCTAATTTCTGTGTTAATGTCATGTATCGATGTGCTTGCATGAAACAAACTATTAATTTAATTTTTTTAAACACTTGTCGGTAATAAGGCAGCTAATAACATTTTAAAGTTTATGATTAACTTTGAAATGATTGTGTCTCGTGGCTATAGATATCAATAATTAAATTTAAACTTAAAAGGATTCAATGATATTTATGAAAATTTTATAAAATTATTTTAGAAAATATTATGACATTGAAATTTAGTGCTCAAAATTTTAATTTTTATGATAATTTTACGCCAATGAGGACTATCTGTTACGTGCTCGATAGATGGCCTTAGTGCTGATTTAGGTCATATACGTCCAATAGTTGCAGCTTTAAAAGTTTAATGATCAAAAAGCTTGTCACGATAATTCTCTAATAATCTATAGACCTTCTACTACATTAGCGCCTCTAGCGGCAATTTCAGGCACTAGTCCGTAATTTTGATATTATTTACAGTAATCTCACCAAAGTATAATCATTTCTAGTCTTTGAAAATTAGTCTAGTCGAAAACGTTGATTGCCAAAGATATTTTAAACGATAGTGTTGTACCCCAACCGATCGAACTAGTCATTACAATCGATATCGATACGGTTTTCTATTTTATTTTAATATTCATTTGAAGTAACATTGGATTTTAAGTAGTAAACAAAATAATGTGATTCTAATTCAACGTGTGCTTATTTTATTTAATCATAAGCCAGAACTTGCCTGTCGTTTTTGTACTAGTGTGGTGATCAACAATTTTTTCCTCTATACGAGAGGCCAGCTCAGCAGTAATGAAGGCAGGCTGATAATAATTGTACTAATTCTGCATTAATTAACATAACATACAGAACAAATTCGTTGTTGTATCTGCAAGAGTAGAACTTGAATTATCTTATGTTATTTCAAATGAATTATATTATTAATAGGCAATGATAAAATTCAATAAACGCAAAAGTATTTTTAAGGTTTTAGCGAGAATAATGTTTGCTTTTTTAATGTATGCATTGGTTGAAGTATGTTTCATTTGTTATACGTACGTAATTTCCCAGTAAGATGTTAAATATTATACCAACCATCTTGTCTCACTTTTATACCTTTTTTGTACATTACAACAAGCAATCGTCTCGATATTATTATTCGTATGTAATCGATAATCGATTAACTAAAATACTGACAGCACAATGAACAATTTTTTTTATTTTATTTATTATTTAGTGTAAGTTTTTCTTTTAGATCAGTTGTAGAATCTCATTGAGTTTGTTTTTTTTATTAATGTTATGTTTTAAGACCGTATAGTACTTTTTAAACAAATTATTTTATTTACGTCTCGAGTGTCGGTATTTGATACACAATAGAAAATACATTTTGTCTCGCGTAGATCTACGGTCCGGTATCACGGGTTAAAGGCAGCTATAAACAATGATGATTTTGCCCAAGATACGTGCTTTGTTTATCTAATATCTCTCACAGTCGACTGCCAGACTTTGGACCTCCTCTACATAAATGGGTTAATCATAAAGTCCACGCCAGATAGGCGGGTTGGGCGTTTATCACAAACCGCTGCTACCCAGACCCAGTTTGTATCTGTAAAAGTTTAAAAGTTCAAAAGTTCCCCAAGCGCTCACCGGTAACTCCATTATAGACCTTATTTTCCGACGTTTAGAGACTACTTTTGTATAAACAAATTTGGGGTACGATATATCAACGTATTTAAAAAAGATCCATACATACGTGCGGTCTTAAAATGTGACATATGAACTCATTTTTTTATAATATTTTTTTTTTGTTTTAAGTTATTGTCAGCACATTTAATCTGCATTTAACGTGTATTTTATGTTTATTTGTTAGTTTTATTTTATGTCATGTCACTTCGTGCATCACTGTATTTTTACGTAAACTTTGTACATTGTTTTTTTGTACATAAGTTATTAAACAATCTGTTTTAATTTATTTTTTTTGTTATTTATTTTCTGTTTAGTTGAGTTTTATGTATTAATTTTTTATGTTGTGATTTTATTTGTCGTGGTTCAAATAAAATTGGGTTGGTCGCCATTTTACCGTACATTGTTGTTTAGCATGGTATGAAGATTAAATTGGGTCATACCATTTATAGGAGACAATGCCCTGAAAGGGAAAAGTAAAGCAATCTTCTCAATGGAGAATGTTATTGTAACGTAAAATTAAGAAAGTACCTACGCTATTGTATCTCAAATAACTTGACTACCTACTTCTCTAGTTTAAAAATTCAATGTATCGGACGTTGTGCTATGACGCCACAGTACAACGTAAATTTTGTATGGAAATTGCAAGTCATCACAATTTTAGACGCATATATTTCGGCCAATTTTAATTGTACGACAAAACTCAGTACACAGATCAATTCGTAACATAGAAGGCTTAATAGTTCCACATCTTTTTAAAAACCTTAACATTCTCCATTCTAAAAATAAAAAAGTAGAATTATAGAGTACACAATAATATAAACCCCAAAAAATCAACATCTTGGCGATAAAGTCATTGAAAATTAAACTTAATCACAATACAATTAAAACACTAAGTTATGCGCAAGCAGCCAGGCAAGGATCGGCGAAATCTTCAAGTTACTGGAGTGGCAAAGAAGAGAATGGTTCGTTTATCATGATATTAGCTAAACATTCCTATTTAGAAGTAGATTCATCGTATGTGACCGTGGTAGAGGTGGCCGATTGCGAATATTATCGATACCGATATTAATTTTATCATTTTAGTATTGGTTTTGGGTTAGTTTTCATAATGAGAGCTTTAACTGTAAAGAAGTAATCTAAGGTAGACTGACAGAGAATGCCTAAGGCATTAAGTCCGCTCTTATACGAATAGGAAGTATTAAACAAATAATCTTAGTTATTAAAATATCTATAGTTTAAAAATTCAATTGATCTAACACTAAAATTGATTTCAATGATAATTAAACTGATGGTTTATAAAAAAAGTTATCGATAAATATAATGTTATGTTATTCGCAATCGTACATCACTAGACTGTGTGTTATTTTGTCCCTGTAACATTATCTGTTGTTATATAAAAGCTTCGCTGTCAATAACGTTCTCCTTCCATTACCTATGCTTCAGAAACAATCTTGGGGCGATTGGTTTATTAATTTACTTAATTTAATTAACATTATTAAGAAAAAAATTAAATTATCTTCAAAAAAATAACAGTATTTTTTCCGTTAAAGTACAGTTCGCGTCAAAAGTTTCGTTGAAAATACAAATAATACGATTTTTTTTGTGTGTATTTCATAACAATGGTAACGACAGATATTGTTAATTTTTTTTAAAGGTGTAAGTTTTTTTAGTATTTGTGCTGCGTACGTAGTTTTCTATCAATTAGTTTCATTTTGTCTATGAGATGTCCATTGTAAATACGAGCAAGTGTAAAGGGAATATGTTTTTCTCTAAATTTATTTAATTATGTCACTGTTTTGTGGGTCCTTTGGCGATTTGGCTAACATTAAACATTATTTTGTTTGTTTTTTTATAAAAGAATTTAAAAAAAGATGGAACTTCTTAAAAATTTACAATCAATTTGTGCACTCTTTGTTCGAGAAAACACATGTTTACGTGTGGTTTTGGTTTTTGCCATTCAAATTACTGCTAAGTTATCAATTATAACTCCAAAACAGTGACGTTGGCAAAATTTTGTTGAAAAATTTTATGCAATATGAAACAATTCTTCTCTTATTGCAAATCGCTTCGCTTTTGCTTGAGCTTGTTGCGGTGGCGTGGATGTGAAGAAAGCCTTCAATACCATGTACTCAATTCACTAAAGCATCCATTGCTCCATTGGCGTATAAAAACTTCAATAAATATAAAAAGTATTGAAGAAAATCGTCAATGTACATCGAAATTGTGTACTAAAAAGGATTTTTTGCATCGTCCAAGTCACCACATAATGCCCTAAGCGATTGGTTTTTTCCTTTAACACTTGTTTGTATACGCACTATAGGTATTTTTTGACTAATCTTTTTTTTTATTTATTTGTAACTTGTACTTTCGACCTTAGCATCTTTTTATTTGTAAATCTTTTACGTCAGCACACGAGTTGTCATTTTTTATTTAAGTTTAATTTATTAATTTTAGTTTAATTTAAGTTTTCAGTAGTTTTTAACGCGAAATTCTATTCGATCTATAATAAGTGATGCTGTTTTTCAAGTATTTGAAACAACATGACTATTTTTTGATCGGCCGATCACATGATGTTGATTTGTCTTTCAGAAACCCGAGAAATGGGGATATACAAAACCTTTTAAAAGTGCTTCAAGTTGTTCGCCTATATTGGCTTTAATTATTTTAGCCTTTATTGTAAATATTTTATGTAAATAACAAAATGTCCTCGTGTGCTGATTGGGAACAGTTGTACAGCGTCCATTGTAAGCGTCTGAAGTGCATGTCCTTAGTCCCGGTTTTGTATTGACTAAAATGTGATCATGTACAGTCGAACACAAAACTTGTTAATGACGTCACGTGAAAGGTCTTTAAAAAAACCGCCAACACATCTGATACTCCTCTAGTGTTCCCAGTGTCCATAAGCAGCACTGAATGCTTACCATCAGGCGACTGGTCGCTCGTTTGCCGCCCTATCCCATAAAAATAAAATTCAAAAATATTTTTTTATAATAACTATCGTGAGACATACTAAATTAACTAAAAATCGCGGGTTACTCACGTGAATATACTGAGAAAAGCTCTACTAGTTTCTAGTTTATTCTAGTTCTAAACTAGTAGTGCTTTTCTCGGTATTTTCATGTTAGTAAATCGCGATTTTTAGTTATTCTAAAGTCTGTTGTAAAATATCTTAGTTGATTTTTTTTAACTAAAAAGTACGTTATATTTTTGTGCTCGACTGTACACAAAAAGAAAACATTACTTTCTAATAAATTGTACCGTTTTATTTTTAATAATAATTACTGTTTTGTGAACGTGGTTTGGGTTGGGATTGGTTTATGTGTTTTTCATTATATTTACATAATATTATTATATTTTTTCTAAAACATTCCCCTCTTATAATTATTCAGAGAGTAACTTTATGCTCGTATTATATTTCCGTACTTATATTTATAGGTTTTCGTTTCCAAATGTAATTGGTAATTTTGTCAATATGGCTTTTAGAAAGGTGTTATTATAAACCTTAATGTTACTAAGAAATAAGTATACATAACCCACACAAACATGGTTCGAAAGTAAACAAACATTTTGTGAATGATACAAAGGGCTAACTAAGTACGATTGGTTGGTTCAATCAGCAGGCCAATCAGAGCGCTGAACGCGGTCTCATTTCGATTGTCACAGTTTTACAATAAAATTCGTCTTTATCTTATCCACATTCGTTTTGGAAACGGAAATCTACAACCAAACCCCATCATAGTTTTACTTTTTCAATTAACTATTTTAAAAACAATTTTCAGTCTTGGATCGACCACCGTCACAGATGAGCTACTTAGACCAATTCCTCAAGGAAGCGCCCACGGAACGGCACTACGATAACGTGGCTACTATTAACGAGCAAAAGGTTGGTTTTAGCTTAACACGTATCTGTACATAATACGTTTATAACAACGCTTTGTCATTTATTCATTTCTATTTTTTGTTTGGGTGTGTTCCAATGTTTTGTTTACATAACATAATATATCTATACAAGGTGTAGTTTTGAAACCGTGTCATTTCTCGGGGGCATGTCACAGAAGTCATAAAGGTTCAATGTAAGAGAAAATTTCGGGCCAATAGTTAAAAATACGGCTATAATAAATCGTTTAAGTTCGACAGTATATCAGAATAAGCGACAGCAATGGTTCTTATTGGAGTTTTATGGAATTAGGAATAATATCAATTACGTGTTTGAGTTTGTGTGTGTTATAAAGCTAGTTACAAGACGGCGGCGTGTACTTCGCACTTACGGATTTCCGTAATTTCAAAAAATTAAAATATTTACCTACAATTTTTTTTATTGATTCGGACTCAGAATCGATTGCCGAGTTACCTCCTAGAAAATGACGCGGCTTTAAAACAACACCTTGTATATCATAGATCTATTATTCAAGACTTAATCATTTGACAAATTTTCAAATTAGACAATACGTCATCTTTATACCATTGACTTAACAAGATAATATTTTTAACTGTGTTTAATGGTGTTTAGGTTTTATTTTGGTTACTGGAATATGCTCAATGCTTAATTTTGTGACTAATTGTAAGGTGAAAGTTTATGTTTTAGAATTGTTACACTGTATTTTGTCAATTGTCTCTGTTCTTCAAGTCATTTGGCTAGATTTGAAAACCTAAAGTGGTTTTTAGAACATTAGAAAAGTTGTAATGAATATTACAACGCACCTACTATAGTATATACTACCATTGCTTAATACATAAGCGCATATTGTGCCGGTAATACCGCATAATCTTTATATATATAATTCTACTGTACGTGGGTATGTCATTGAACTCCTAAACGGCTTGACCGATTTATATGAATTTTTCTGTATGCGTTTGAGTGGTGCCCTGGTTGGTTTAGATTCATAAATCAGCCCGGCAGATGGTGCTGCAGTCGGTATCTGGGTTATTTATCTATACCTATTATTATATTATATGCAGGACAACGTCTGTCGGGTCCGCTAGTACCAATATAAAGATATTATACTTATTCTATCAGGGCATGTCAAAACTCCACATATCACAGTGTCTTTTATGATAAAATTCAGTGTAACAATGAAATCATGCAAGCTTTTTTATTTTTATGTTGCCATTTTGTTTTTGTTATCTGTTACTCGCACAGATGTCGCCGCAGTACCGATACAGGAACCAACATTGTTGTAATGCGAAGGTATTGTTTTATCTTTATATTTATTAGATGTTCTTTATTATTTCTTAGATATTTGACTTGTCAATTGAGCGAATTGGTATCTGAACAAACAATAATAAAGAAATAGTGATTTAGTACTATTTTTTTAAAACGTTGCCCCTCACTTGGATTTTCTCCTGTATCGTGGGTGCGTTTACAAACATACAAGTTCACATACACATGACACCCAGACCCGGAACAACAATTGGTGGATCACACAGAGTTGTTTCGTGTGGGAGTCATTACACGCTGCGCGGCAGCCGGTTGTCCAGCCACCGTGCCAACCGTGCACGCTGCGCTATCATTGGAATATAAACCATAATAATTTCATTTGGTGAAGGAAATTGTCATTTAACTTGGTGGCTTTTGTGTCACAATCATCAATACTAACACACATAAAAACACGAAATGTTTGAAATGATCGTTATTTTACCATAATAATAAATGTTCACCGTAATAATTGTAATAAAAACTTATTTTAGGAACAAATTGGATACTTTTTGTAGTGACTGTGCTTCAATTGCACCAATTTAAAGTAATAAATAAAGTCAATTCTTGTAATAAAATAATGACAAAATTCTTTTCTTAAATAACGAAAGAAAAATCTATTAATTCTTTCGTACACAAAATATAGATGTCAACAAAGTTTACAGTTTCTCCATGTTTTGCCTTTACTTGGCATGCAAGATGTTATAAAAAAAATCTATAATAAAATTAAGTCCATTGAATCTTTATTTAAAATACATTAGTATTTACCAAAATTTTTCCAAAGTTCTTATAATAATTTCCTAATATAATATTACATCACACAGTTAATGTACGGCTCCCAACAATCGGCCGCGTTGAGTGGGTCGGTGGAACTACAGGACGAATTGGAAGGGCCTCGGGCGTCCTCACCGGCCTCCAGCAAGAGCTCCCCTAGTGAAATATCTACAGTTAGTATGGTAAGTGGTGAATTATTTTTATTTTTAGCCTTGATCGTGCCACTACAGGGCAAAGGCAAAGATTGGCCGCAAAATGCTTTTTACGGAGACATGACAAGCCCAATTCCAATTCTAGTCTGCGGCTTTATAAAGAAAGAAGAAAGAAAGAAAAATCGTTTATTTGCACACTGTCACAAAGTACAATAACACACAAAAAAATAATACAGTGAAGACGGCGCAAAAAGGCCAGAGCTCAGCTTAAATGCCGTGACCCGAGTGCGCTCAAGTCGCGTTCACGTTTATGACCAACGTCAACGCTTTTAGTCGTGGAGAGCAGCGTGGTGTTCCTTATTCTACTCGATAATCGATCTCGAAGATACTGCGCTCCATGGCAACTAGTAAATACTGTTCTTGATCGGGGTCATAGATGATCCATGTACCAAATTGTGGATTTGTGGAATGAACGTGTAGCCTGCGGGATTTCGAGACTGATACAGACCTACAAATTTTCAAATAAACAGCAACTCCTTGTTTTTTTTATGGCATAAGCCGGTAAACGAGCAGACGGATCACCTGATTGTAAGCAATCGGCGTCGCCCATGGACACCTGGAATACCAAAGGCATTACAAGTGCGTTACCGGCGTTATGGCGATTAGGAGTTTAAGGATCGTTGGGGATTGTTATAAGGCTGGCAACTTTCTTGTGGGATTTTTATAGATCGCGCTGATCATTTACTCTCAAGTGATTCGCTTGCTCGTTTCCTCTATCTGTTCATACTTCATATCATATTAATACGGCAAAGAAAAATATTCTACAGTTCTTGATAAAATTTAGCACGGAAATACGTTTACCATTTTTATTAACCATTTATCGTTTTTACCAGGATCCTTCGCTGGGCCCCACGGTGCCAGGCAAACAGAAGGTCCATCAGTTCTTGGTGAGGACGTTCAGCAGTCCTACCAAGTGCAACCATTGTACGTCGCTCATGGTAAGTAGTTGTGGCGACGCATGCCACATGTCAACGGATGACGTCACAAGAATCCTACATCGCACATGCAAAGTTTACAAGCGAATAAACATGGATAGAAAATCCCAACGAACAACTGTTGGGCAGAAAGCCCGCCAGGCACGATCACCTCGCCTGGTCGGAGGATCCTCCTTTTCCGATCTTAGGGAACTATACTCTCTGTTCCCTAAAGTGGTGACCCCGACGTGATTGGAAACAACCTTCACTTCACGGAGCAGATTAGCACCGTCATCCGTATCGTCATCCCTCTCATTCATCACTTCTCCGCTGAGCGGTAATCAAGTCGCAGCCAACCAGCATCCTCGGCCTCATCAGGGACCACCATCACCTGCAACGAAGTTGTGCAGCCTGGTTCTTCCCTACGGCCTCACCAGCGTCTAGGCACAGCACTTCTGCACACGGTTCTGAAGGACATCTCCTCCCGTCAACGCAGATGCCGGCCACTACGCACCTACCCTCGCAGCATCTCTTCCCCGACTCACCGTGGGACACTGCGAAATCATCTCTCCGACTCACTGGAGTTTCACCCTGCACCGCTGACCCGACTCACTGGGCACTCAGCGGCACGGTTCCGACCCACTGGAACTAGGGACGTTCTACACTGGCTCTGGCACCGCTCATCTCAAGCATCGACAGCAGTCTCAGCGGAATCGACCTCCGGTCTTGGGAGGGAGTGATGTGGCGACGCATGCCACATGTCAACGGATGACGTCACAAGAATCCTACATCGCACATGCAAAGTTTACAAGCGAATAAACACGGATAGAAAATCCCAACGAACAACTGTTGGGCAGAAAGCCCGCCAGGCACGATCACCTCGCCTGGTCGGAGGATCCTCCTTTTCCGATCTTAGGGAACTATACTCTCTGTTCCCTAAATAGTGTATGCGACAAGTTAATTTCTTATCATACTTATTGATCATGGTTTTTATTTGGTTATAGAGTTATAGCTACTGTCTTATTACTAAAATCTAGGAGAATGAAAATGGATACTTGCCAACTAGTGAAATTCAGTATTTTTTACGAACTCTGAAAAACGTCGGTTATTTATGAATTTTGTACGAGATTTTGTATTGTAATGTCGCGTGTTTTTGCGTCAAACAGTTTACTTAATTTTTTAAAATTATCCTTTAAAATACTAAAATTAAGTTAGTCATAAAATCAATTAATGAAAGTGTGATTATTTTTTAAGATTTTATTGTATTTTATACATTATATGAAAAAATTATGCGCTCATCTTACGTATAGTCCATCACTTTACAAAGTCGACGGTTTCGTTTCTTCAAAAGATTATGTGAACTATAAAGTAGATGAGTCTCCCACTAGGAGTCAACGACAAAAAATACTTTATTGGATGTTTGGACGGCTACCACACAAGTTATCGATTGAGAGAAAATAGCTAATGAAAATTAGCATCTGGCAATATGGATATATTGTTGTGTGATATAGTGTTTCTGTGTCCGGCGTACAGTGATGCACAATTTGTAGTTAGGAATTGTGACAAAAATATGAATAATTTGAATAAAAAAACCAAAGTATAATGTTTGACTCCAGCTCCTTTCAAGGCTCATAACTCAGTCCAGACTGAGATTTCCATATATGAGCCTATAGACAATTTCGTTTGTAATGACATTCGAGATAATATTTTCCATAAATCGCCGCCAGAAAAAAGTAAGGCACCAATTTTAGTCAATGCCCTTTATAAGAAATAAGTATGGTTAACGCTAAAAACACGCAACGTCAGAATACGTCTCGTAATCTTGTAGAAAATTCATAGAAAAGTATTGAAGTTGGCAAGTTTCCAATTAGTTAAGAGGTAGTTTAGATATATGAGACTGATGCCCCTGCAGATGGGGCTGACGCGGCAGGGCGTGGTGTGCGAGACGTGCGGGCTGGCGGTCCACACGTGGTGCTGCGCGCGCGTCGCGCCGCGCTGTCCGCTGCCCGCCGCCGCCGGCCGCCGCCCGCTCGGCATCGACCCCGCGCGCGGACAGGGCACCGCCTACGAGGGATACGTCAAGGTACGCTACACCACGTAATACAACGTGGCGCCGCGCTGTCCGCTGCCCGCCGCCGCCGGCCGCCGCCCGCTCGGCATCGACCCCGCGCGCGGACAGGGCACCGCCTACGAGGGATACGTCAAGGTACGCTACACCACGTAATACAACGTGGCGCCGCGCTGTCCGCTGCCCGCCGCCGCCGGCCGCCGCCCGCTCGGCATCGACCCCGCGCGCGGACAGGGCACCGCCTACGAGGGATACGTCAAGGTACGCTACACCACGTAATACAACGTGGCGCCGCGCTGTCCGCTGCCCGCCGCCGCCGGCCGCCGCCCGCTCGGCATCGACCCCGCGCGCGGACAGGGCACCGCCTACGAGGGATACGTCAAGGTACGCTACACCACGTAATACAACGTGGCGCCGCGCTGTCCGCTGCCCGCCGCCGCCGGCCGCCGCCCGCTCGGCATCGACCCCGCGCGCGGACAGGGCACCGCCTACGAGGGATACGTCAAGGTACGCTACACCACGTAATACAACGTGGCGCCGCGCTGTCCGCTGCCCGCCGCCGCCGGCCGCCGCCCGCTCGGCATCGACCCCGCGCGCGGACAGGGCACCGCCTACGAGGGATACGTCAAGGTACGCTACACCACGTAATACAACGTGGCGCCGCGCTGTCCGCTGCCCGCCGCCGCCGGCCGCCGCCCGCTCGGCATCGACCCCGCGCGCGGACAGGGCACCGCCTACGAGGGATACGTCAAGGTACGCTACACCACGTAATACAACGTGGCGCCGCGCTGTCCGCTGCCCGCCGCCGCCGGCCGCCGCCCGCTCGGCATCGACCCCGCGCGCGGACAGGGCACCGCCTACGAGGGATACGTCAAGGTACGCTGGAATGATCTGTCGGCGGCGGTGATTCCCAACCGATACGACCTTCAAACCTTCAAGAAAAGAGCGTATTCCTTTTTAAAAGGCCGGCAACGCACCTGTGACTCCTCTGGTGTTGCGGATGTCCATGGGCGGCGCTGATCGCTTACCATCAGATAATCCAGGTTACAAAAAAAATCGCATCGTCCAATAACTTTCCTCGCCTTGGGTGAGGTAAAAGAATTTCAGACTCTTACCGACTAAAAACCACTCCTTGTTCGAGCCGGAGCCCCGGTTACCCGCTAGATCATGCACAACTCCGGATACGTCAGTATATTTACTTGTGGAATTTGGTTACGTACGATTTTGTAGCGATATCTACCGATACCTATTAAGAATAATTTTGGTGAAAACACATGAAAACACCGTACATTGTGTACTGTTGATATGGCTCGATCGAAGTAATGCCACGACCTCACATAAAACCCACATTCCATTCCGCATTTCCATTGGCAACGGTAAATGTTCACTACCAATAGATCAGTCTGATAATTTCCATTCTATCCAATAAAAAAACCTGCCACAATATGATAATGGGTAGAAGACTAATTTTTATTTTAATGTCCGTCTGGTAGATTATTTGACAATATTACACACGTGTTTTTATTTTTTTACAGAAACGAATACTTTCGACGATATATTGTTTTGAAATGTCGCTTGACGTCACTTCTATGTACATTTTATACGTAGAAATGACGTTTTAGCCCCCACCCCTAAATTTTAATTCGTTATATCTAAGTATCTTTTTATTATACACCAAAATAAAAAAATACGTGACTAATATTTTTTCATTACCTAACTGACGGACTAATTACATTTTTTATTTTCATACCCCGGCATCATCCATAATACATGTATATAAATACAATAATGTATTCTGTTTTCTCATCAGGTCCCGAAGCCCGGCGGCGTGAAGAAAGGGTGGATGAGACAGTTTGTGGTCGTGTGCGACTTCAAATTGTTCCTCTACGATATATCGCAAGATCGGTGAGTTTTATTTGTTTAAACTACAACAATTTTAGTAATTTTCTCATGTAATTTTGTAGGTTTATTCTTACCTGAGTAGGTAGGTACCCGTAATTATGTGGGAGAGGTGTTAAACAAATCTTTGTAGTAAGCGAGCACGGAGTCTTTCGTCTCCTCTATACAACTCTCAGTTTTGAAAAGCCTTAACTGTCCTTCATCTTATACTTATTATATAAAGCTGAGTATGCGATTTGAATAATTATTTTTGTGTTGGATAGTGCATTTCTCGAGGAAGGCTTATAGGCTATAAAACATCACGCTGCGATCGATAGCGGCCGAGTAGAGCGGGTAAAACCGCAAACCTCTGGAAGTAACTAGTATTTTATAGAAGAGTAGAGGAAATGTAGAAAGGTCTAATGTGGGATGATCATACATAATTAACTGTTCAATCCCCAAGCGGTCACCGGCGACCGCTCTCCACTAACTCCATTATAGACCTTATTTCCGATGTTTAGAGACTGCTTTTGTATGAACAAATTTTGGGGATGTTCGGTACGATATATATAATAATGTCTAGTTTTTATTGACAATTTAATAAAACAATATGCAATGTTCCAGTAACGCGCTCCCGTCGGTATGCGTGAGTCAGGTGCTAGACATGCGTGACCCGGATTTCAGCGTGACGTCGGTAAAGGAGTCTGACGTCATACACGCCAGCAAACGGGACATACCTTGTATATTTAGGGTGAGTATTTAACTTTATAGAGTTCACGTCAATTTGTTACACTGGGCAGAAGATTTTTGGCCTTTCCGATGGTATAGTAATTGTAAGGTATTCTTTTAAAATTTATATAAATAACATCACGTCTTTTATCCCTGAAGGGGTAGGCAGAGGTGCATCTTACGGCACTTAATGCCACTATACGATGTAACACCCAGTTTTCACTATTTTTGTCATGAGTCCCATGTTATAGGGGATGAGCCTATTGCCGTATACCGGTCACAAATCCAGACTCCGTGCAATAGCAGGGAGCAGCAGTAGAAATTGTCAGTAGTAACTGAGATTTGTTTAAAAACCTACCCGAGAATCGAACCCGAGACCCTTCGCCCAGCAATCGCATTTGCGGCCACTGGGCTAATGAGGGAGGCAGCAGGCAGTATATGTAAAATAATAATAAAAACAAGGACTATTATTCCTTTGTATTTATTCGAGTTACTATTGGACAAACCTGTTGTCTAAAGTCTGATAGTAAAGCTTGTAATGATGAAACAATTTGAATTTGTTATTTCAGATATCAACGTCCCAACTGGAAGGCGGCAAGAGATCTCACACACTGATGTTGGCGGAGTCCGAGTCAGAGAAGACCAAGTGGGTCGTCGCACTCAGTGAACTGCACAGGATACTCAAGCGGAACAACCTACCTGACAAATGTGTACGTTGGATTACATTATTTTTATTTTAAGTCTATTAACTGGAACTACAAAATAGAGTTCTTTGAAGAGAGTGAATAGGTTTTTAAAAGGTCGGCATGATGAATGTATTGCCGGCGCTTATAGGCCACGGTATCCCACCGTAAGCGCGGGCCTGCGGACTGCGGTCCGACCAGAAACAGACCCGAGCGTACGACGCCGAGCGTTCTGCGCGCGCCTCAAAGAGCCATCAGACCACCACAGATGGGGCCCAACAGGGCCGATGCCGATCCGGAGTCGCGGAGAACCTAACGAGTTACCGGTGCTCCGGCTCGACGTGCTGGAATAGGAACGGGGTGGTTCTTAGTCAGTAAGAGTCTGACACTCCCTCCCGCCTCACCCGGGCGGGAGAAATTATTCGATGATTTTCCCCCCTTAAAAAAAAGGCCACGGTATCCGCTTACCATCAGGTGGGCCGTGTGCTCTTTTGCCACCGTTGTGGTATAAAAAAAGAATGGATGTCGGGTGCAATTTGGTCTTGACACCACTGCTTTGGACAAATGGAACTCCTTTTGTTAATATCTAAAAGCAAAACTAACAACTATACACAATGACAGATATTTATGAATTGTTTTTTTTTTTTTATATTTTTTGTATTGATAACCTGAATAGTTTTGCTAGTGGAGGACATTGCTGGTTTTTAAACAAAATTAAAATTTAGAGGTGTGTCCCACTAGTCCATCACCCTAATTCATATTCTGAAATCAGTACTACTTTAAGGCGCCGTCCATAAATTACGTGAGATGTTTAAGGAGGGGTAGACTCAAATCTCATCTAATTTAACGTTGGAGAGGGGGGCGGGGTCTCGGCAAATATCACGTTTTTTTTTCAGATTGAAGCAAAAAAACAATTATACTATTTTCCATTTAATCCATTTAGTCCATTTAATCCAGATTGTACATGCTTAAGATATAATGTATATGCATTTGTTTTGTAACAAATAGCTCAATTAATCTAAATTTACAGTACAGTATAACTCGTCCTTTGTTTTCGCGTCACTATCATATGTCAGCCGAACGTCCGACGCCTGAAAAATCTCACGTGAGATTGGGGGATGGGGGAGGGTGTTGAATAAAATCTCATGAAACCTCACCAGAGGGGAGGGAGGGACAGAAAACTAAAAAAAAAACTCCTCAAGTTATTTAGAGACGCCCCCTAAGAACAAATAGTCTTAACAAACCAGCCAGTACAAGTCCATACGTACCCACAGGTATACAGCGCCTGCGTGCTGCTGGACTCGACGGCGGCGGCGACGGTCCGCAACGCGCTGTGCGCCTGCGTCCTGGAGCGGTCCCGGGTCTGCATCGGCGGCGAGGCCGGGCTGTGCCTGCTGGACCTGGAGCGCGCCGAGCTCACGCCGCGCCGCCAGCACGCGCCCGTCACCACCGTCGCATACGTGCCGCAGGAACAGTTGCTCGGTACGTAGCCACGACATATTGGAGCGGGCCCGGGTCTGTATCGGCGGCGAGGCCGGGCTGTGCGGCTTTCCCCGAAATAGAAATACAACAGGATGAAAAACGAAGATTCGAAGCCGGAATACGTGGTTCGGTATCGGTGAATGCCAACGGATTTCATAGCTACTAGCTATATGACAGAAATCCTTTGATATTCACCGGTATCGCGCCACGTAACACATCGCGTCTGACTTCTGTCTGCGCTCACGATTGGAGGATATCGTTGAAGATTTTTTAATACTCTGTTCTTTGTAAGGTTAGGGTTACCGCAGATTATAGAATCCAATTTTATTGCCATCGTTTTAGTGTCAAGAATAATAATAGCTAACAATGTTCACTATGTCTTTTTCTGGACTGGGACTTCTCTGATAAAACTGAACCTCTGCGAACTAAAACCCTGACTGACAAGGTCGGAGATTGTTTGGAAACCTTTATAGATCGAAAAACATGAGTCGCAATTGTTGCGTCGAATCTACTTTGACTAAACAGTAAATTGTGTGCTAAAATCGTATCTTAAAAAAACAGAAGTTCAACAAAAATCTATCTTGTGCGCCGGGTCCTTTTTTGCGAAGAATTCAATTTCATTTGGTCAATTACTAACAATCATAATATTGGGGCTCCTCTATGTATTACATACCTAGTCGTATTTTTATCTTCTTTTGGTATACAGAGCTCAAAATGCTCCCGAAACGCTGACGAAAAGGAATTGTTTTTACAACTTTATTCGTTGTTGTTTTCTTATTATTCATACAACATTAGCCTTGACCAGTTGACTACAGCTTATATGTATATGAAAATAAAACATGATCACCTGTAGGCGTTTGTATTTCGGGAGCGTACCGTTTACACTCTGTATATAGGTGATCTGCGCTAATCTTAACATTTGTAATATTTGCTTTTATATACTTAAACATTATCCAATTTACCCTTATCATGTACAAAAAGTGCTTAATCTTACAATTAATCGTTTGAATATTCAGTGTTAAAAATGCTTTATTTATACAATGATATGGTTCATTTTGTATGTTACGTTACATGCACACGTTACACGCAATGCTTTACAACACGCATGCGTGTGAGCGAGAGATCCGATAAAAAATACTTATGACTGTTCGTACATGTGTGATGCTCCAACTATAACATTGTCACGTTGTATGTTGAAAATATGTGAATGATTTTTGTCATTTCAATGTGGACATTTTGTGTAGTGGAAAATTCACTTGCTACTTGACTTTTGTATATAATTATAATGCTGTTAAATTTTTACACCGACAGCAATACACTAATTGCCCAAGGAAAGTAGCACATATTTTTCCAATGCTTATTTCTTTTAAATATTTACTATCTTTTTCCTTTTTGTCTCAAACCGCCAAATAAATTACATGTCAAAATTGTTACTTTACAGTGGTAATAGCGGGTCGCGGTCGACACGTCCGTTTAGTACCAATCCGAGCGCTTGAATGCGCAGAAGTAGAGTGTATCAAGTTAGCAGAAAGCAAAGGCGCGCTCTCGTTGGCTGCCGGCCCGTTAGGACATTCTGCACATGGATTCGCTGTACTGTGTAAAAAGCAGGTTAGTTATTGTGATTTGTTTTATATAATGATAATGATTATGAATGTGTCAAAATGTTCATATGTATAAAGATTATAGAAATATGTGTTGTACCTGCTCAGAATATTTACCTCTCAAAATGGTTTACTTTTTAGTTCTCCCTAATGACCATTCTCCGAACTTTGCGGTCCTTTTACTCTCCAGTCCTTGAAATGACTACTCTCCGGTCCTTGAAATGTCCGTTCTCCGAACTTTGAAATGTCCAATCCGAACTTTGAAATGTCCAATCTCCGAACCTTGAAATGTCCACTCTCCGAACTTTGAAATGTCCACTCTCCGAACTTTGAAATGTCCACTCTCCGAACTTTGAAATGTTCACTCTCCGAACTTTGAAATATCCACTCTCCGAACTTTGAAATGTCCACTCTCCGAACTTTGAAATGTCCACTCTCCGAACATTGAAATGTCCACTCTCCAAACTTTGAAATGTCCACTCTCCGAATTTTGAAATGTCCACTCTCCGATTTTTGAAATGTCCACTCTCCGAACTTTGAAATGTCCACTCTCCGAACTTTGAAATGTCCACTCTCCGAACTTTGAAATGTCCACTCTCCGAACTTTGAAATATCCACTCTGAACTTTGAAATGTCCACTCTGAACTTTGAAATGTCCACTCTGAACTTTGAAATGTCCACTCTGAACTTTGAAATGTCCACTCTCCGAACTTTGAAATGTCCACTCTCCGAACTTTGAAATATCCACTCTCCGAATTTTGAAATGTCCACTCTGAACTTTGAAATGTCCACTCTCCGAACTTTGAAATGTCCACTTTCCGAACTTTGAAATGTCCACTTTCCGAACTTTGAAATATCCACTCTGAACTTTGAAATGTCCACTCTCCGAACTTTGAAATGTCCACTCTCCGAACTTTGAAATATCCACTCTGAACTTTGAAATGTCCACTCTGAACTTTGAAATGTCCACTCTGAACTTTGAAATGTCCACTCTCCGAACTTTGAAATGTCCACTCTCCGAACTTTGAAATGTCCACTCTCCGAACTTTGAAATGTCCACTCTCCGAATTTTGAAATGTCCACTCTGAACTTTGAAATGTCCACTCTCCGAACTTTGAAATGTCCACTCTCCGAACTTTGAAATATCCACTCTGAACTTTGAAATGTCCACTCTGAACTTTGAAATGTCCACTCTCCGAACTTTGAAATGTCCACTCTCCGAACTTTGAAATGTCCACTCTCCGAATTTTGAAATGTCCACTCTCCGAACTTTGAAATGTCCACTCTCCGAACTTTGAAATATCCACTTTCCGCTCCTCGAATCGCCGGTTTGTGTCAATACTAGTGTGTCCATAGTAATTGGCCTGTTCATTGATTGAAAAGTGATAGGATTGTTTTTATAGATTTTTTCTCAGTTCTAGACATAATGTGATAGTGTTTTATATTTGTGTAGAACGCGTACGTGGTGAACGTGTACGAGATTACCCGCACGGCAGCGCGACGAGTTCGAGTAGCCGAACTACGCGCGTGTGGCGCCGTACTGAGTCTACAGCTGGCGGGCGCGCGGCTACTGCTGGGGTACCGCGGGGGCATCGCCGCGCACTGCCTGCCCGACCCGCGCCGGCCGCATCACGACCAGCCCGCCGTCTGTCAGTATACACTGTACATACTCACTACGTACTGGTACATCGCGCGCACTGCCTGCCCGACCCGCGCCGGCCGCATCACGACCAGCCCGCCGTCTGTCAGTATACACTGTACATACTCACTACGTACTGGTACATCGCGCGCACTGCCTGCCCGACCCGCGCCGGCCGCATCACGACCAGCCCGCCGTCTGTCAGTATACACTGTACATACTCACTACGTACTGGTACATCGCGCGCACTGCCTGCCCGACCCGCGCCGGCCGCATCACGACCAGCCCGCCGTCTGTCAGTATACACTGTACATACTCACTACGTACTGGTACATCGCGCGCACTGCCTGCCCGACCCGCGCCGGCCGCATCACGACCAGCCCGCCGTCTGTCAGTATACACTGTACATACTCACTACGTACTGGTACATCGCGCGCACTGCCTGCCCGACCCGCGCCGGCCGCATCACGACCAGCCCGCCGTCTGTCAGTATACACTGTACATACTCACTACGTACTGGTACATCGCCGCGCACTGCCTGCCCGACCCGCGCCGGCCGCATCACGACCAGCCCGCCGTCTGTCAGTATACACTGTACATACTCACTACGTACTGGTACATCGCGCGCACTGCCTGCCCGACCCGCGCCGGCCGCATCACGACCAGCCCGCCGTCTGTCAGTATACACTGTACATACTCACTACGTACTGGTACATCGCGCGCACTGCCTGCCCGACCCGCGCCGGCCGCATCACGACCAGCCCGCCGTCTGTCAGTATACACTGTACATACTCACTACGTACTGGTACATCGCGCGCACTGCCTGCCCGACAGTATACACTATACACTGCAAATTCCTTACACACACTAACTAGACACAAATTCCTCACAAACTCACATACACACTTACGCGATTTCCTTATGGACACTTACTTAACGGACCAATATCCTTTAAACTGTCAAACACCAAACGGTCACCGGTGACCGCAACCTATTGTTCTTCAATTGTGTCTATAATGGCGGTACTCCACGAGTTAAACCCACTCACTTTACACATACGATAGCTGCTACACTTACTCACCTAAACATAAATTTCTTTCAAAAAGAGAATTCCTTTTTATTTAAACATGAATACGGTATTTGTCAAATTTTGGAAATCGTTTTAAAGGGTTGTTTTAGTATATTATAAATGTATAAAATTAATGTAACTGCGAAATTTACAGTACTATTTAGGGTAAACATCGATGTTACAATTTAAATTGTAAAAAGCGCGGGAAAGACGAGGTCATTGTAATGGCTCTAGTCACGTAACACGTGTGACGTCACACGTTTGTAACAAAAGCAAAAACAACATAAGAGATGTGAACCCTAACCTAAATTTTAAGGCTTTTTAAAATGAATTAATATAGGAATAATATTATAAAACAATATGTAGGTATTATAATACAAGAATAACATTTAAAATGCTAGGTATACATAACATAATATCACGCCTTTTATCCCCGAAGGGGTAGGCAGAGGTGCACATTATGTCACTGTACAATGTAACACCCACTTTTCCCTATTTATGTTATGAGTCCCATGTAATAGGGGGTGAGCCTATTACCATATACCGGGCACAATTCCAGACTCCGTGCTACTACTGAAAATTGTTAAAAACCCCAGTAATACTTTGCTCGACCCGGGAATTGAACCCGAGACCTCTTGCCCGGCAGTCGCACTTGCGACCACTCGGCCAACGAGGCAGTCTATGCCTAAAAAATATAGCGCAAAATATGATTATTTTGAATGTAGTCAAACACCGTATTATAAAACAGTAACATTTGTCGACAGCGCTAGTCCACCCCGAGAACCAAGTGAACGTGTTCCTGTCGCACTCGGGCGCGCGTCCGCTGGGCGCGGCGCCGCTGGCCTGCGGGGACACGCTGCTGGTCTTCAACTCGCTCGCGCTCTACGTCGACCGCCACGGACACCGCGCCCGGGACACCGAGCTCATGTACACGGCGCATCCCACGCACCATGGTACGATACATGCGTTTTTTTTTGTATAAAGAAAAGTTGTTACATTGCTTCGTGCTTTTGTATCATAGAAAAATCTCATTAAAGTTATCCGGACTCACGATTTTGTCTGCAATAAACATTTGGGATAATTATTCAGTTTTGTGCCATTTCAGATTGTAAATCTCTGTGTCATAGTTCTGTTTAATTATTTTTGTAAAGATTACGTAATTCCTTTTGATTCAAAACCATTCAATCTTTTGGGAACAGAGAGTATAGTTCCCTGAGATCGAAAAAGGAGGATCCTCCGACTAGGCGAGGTGATCGTGCCCGGCGGGCTTTCTGCCCAACAGTTGTTCGTTGGGATTTTCTATCCATTTTAATTTGCATGTAAACTTTGCATGTGCGATGTAAGATTTTTGTGACGTCATCCGTTGGTTTGTGACATGTGTATCGCCACAAGTCCTTAAACTGTCAAACACCAAGCGGTCACCGGTGACCGCAACCTATTGTTCTATAATTGTGTCTACAAAGACGGTACTCGACGAGTTAAGGTATTAATTTAAAACAAACCTAGGACAATAATATTATATTGTTACTTACCCAATGTTATCGGTTTCAGCAATCAACGACACACATCTTCTAATATTCACTGCGACGCATATCGACGTGTACGACATAGAAACTGGCGACTGGGTGCAAACTATGAATATACGTAAGTTTATTTAGTTTTTTTAGTAATTTTGCTATATTTTAGTTAAGAGACATCGTAAAATGTCAACTTTGAGTGCAATGAACAGAGCAACATACATCATATTATAAAGCATAGTCTATATGGAAAATATCCAACTTTATTTTATTACTAGCGGATCCGATAGACGTTGTCATGCATATCCACTTAACACTAGAAAGACGGAAAAAATCATCTACCTACAAAGACGGCGAGCGGTCAAATGACTGCTCCAAGTTTTATTGATATTTTTTTATGTTTAAGTGCTAGAAATGGTACCTATTGTATCAAACATGGTATAATATACTTACTGTTAATTAAGTAATATGTATAGAATTTCTAATTTTATCATTTTGTTTACATTACAAAAGCCGCAAAGTGACTTTTTGCAATTGTCGCATTCTTTATGGGTTTTGTGTTTGCATTTGTGTATATAATATTTTGGAATTTACTGGATTTTGTGCAGAAGATTGAGAAGTAAAAGATCTAGACTTTTCAGGCAAGGATTCAGTTTCAGAGAGTATTCTTCAATTTATACTTTGCTTCTAAGTTCGCCCCCTGAACTTACTATAAATAGCCTTTGTTTCATGTAATATTCTACATTTTCCTATACCAAATGAAGGAATTTTACCTAAAAACGAAAATTATCTAAATTATGTTATATCTTTGTTAGGTCTCATATATGAAAAAAAAAATCTATTTCACCTTTGAGATGCTCGTAATATTTTGTCCAGTATTTGCAAAAAGTTGCACAAAACGCATCTGTATCAACGGATTCATCGACATTTGACCACTTTGAGTAGATGCCATTTGAGGTGTATACAAGATACAGTCGATAGTTGTGAAAAGACCTTGATGCTCAGAATCTTCCAAACTCCTTTCACAGCCTTTATCACTACCACAGCAACGACTACAAGCACGAGAACCCGACCTGACAACGTCTGATAAATTTGCTCGAAGTATCTGGTATTTCAGGTCACTTCCGTCCGTAGAGGAATTTGAACTGACAAGTAGTAACCACATAATCGTCGTCGCTATCACGTTTTGTATTTTTAGAGTCAAAATCAGACTCATCTTCACAAATATTTTGGAAGTAACAAACATTTTTTCATTTTCAAAACTCCAACACGTTGCGACCACAAACTACTTTCATAATTCGTAAAGTTCACAGACACTTGAAATGATACGGTGTCATTTGATAAAAAAACTATAAACAATGAATTAGTGTATATAATTTGTATTCTACCCTCTCATATTACACTTATAAACACTCATTGGTTGTCAGCAGTCAAATGACTGCCGCCGTCTTTGTCGGTAGAACAAGATTTTAAATAATAAATAAAAGAGTTGTGATTTATTTTCATACATAGTTGCATTTAACTAGTAAAATAAATAAAAGTCACAAAGTATCAGTTTAAAAACTCAAATAGATTTCAAGTCATTTAACATTTAAAATCAAATTGCGGTCAAATGACTGCTCCCGTCTTTCTAGTGTTAAATGTATAAACACAAATGTTCTACAGTCGGTGGCGCTGTGGGCTGGGTCGTTCCGTTCCCTACGAAATGGTTGATCGGATCGATTGCTGGCCTACACGTCATACCCGTGAACGGGTGCCTTCTGCTGGAACAGGTCGGCTCGTTCATCGTGCTGGTGGGCTGATTCAGTAGGGTTAGTCTAAGATAATAAGACTATAATAATTAGGTAATAACATAAAGTATTGTGTGTAGTGATAGTGGTAGGCGTAGCATGTAAGATATTTATAAAAAAAAAATATTTGACCATGACAATTATGTATTTGTAACATGACAAGGGCACGGACACGAGTCCGTGGAGAAATTCAATTTATTATTTATTAAAAAAAAAAAAATGTATAAACAAAAATTCATTCAAATTAGTTCAGCCGTTTAGGATAACTAACCTAGACATGGACTGCAGCGCCATCTGCCAGGCAAAAAATTTCATCAAAATCGGTCCAGTCGTTTGAGAAAAGTTCAGTGACATACACACTCACAGAAGAATTATATATTTTAAAAAGATGTTAAATCTAGATGTCGACTGTTGGTGGTGCGGTGGCTGAGCAACCGGCTGCCGTGCAACGTGTCGCGGGTTCGATTCCCGCACGGAACAACACTTTGTGTCCACAAATTGTTCACAAATCCACAAATTGTTGTTCCGGGTCTGTATGTTATGTATATGTGAACTTGTATGTTTGTAAACGCACCCACGACACAGGAGAAAATCCTAGTGTGGGGCAACATTTAAAAAAAAGACACGATAAACATACAGTTTTGTATGTTATGCATACTATGCATAGTTTTTTGAAAATAATCTTGTTTCAGAAGGGTCTATTTTGTAACACATTGAGATAAGGAGATGCTATGTTTTGTTTAAAAAAATCTCACACATCTCTAATCAGGCATATTATGCAATGAATAAAAGTTTTATCGATATTACTGGATTTTGTTTTAATTTGCAGCAGTAGCACAGATTCTGGAATTGTGCCCGACATATGGCAATAGACTCACCCCCTATTACATGGGACTCATAACATAAATAGTGAAGTGTGTGTTACATTGTACAGTGGCATTAGTGCCGTAATATGCACCTCTCCCTACTCCTTCGGGGATAAAACGCGTGATGTTATATTTTATCTATATTATCGTCAGCAAATAAGACGGATTTTTTTAAACATTACTACAGTCTGCAGGTTTAAGTAAAAGTTTACCAAATATTTTGTCTTGCCTTCCAGCGAGCGCCCGGCCGCTGGACGAGACAGGTTGGATCTGTTGCGTGGGCGGCGGCAGCGGGAACGGGTTCCCATTCTCTACTGACGCCGCTCCATTCATCATTTACCTCCGACCATTGTTGACACGTAAGTGAAATTACTGTTTTTAAATTACACTTATTTTTGTGAGTAAGAAAGGTTAGGGCATGCAAACAAAATAGTCTCAAAGAAAAAGTATTTATTTATACTATTAACCATACACTTGTAAGGGCATGCTCTTTATACAACTACTAGCTTTTACCCGCAGCTTCGCTCGCGTCACAAAAGCATTAAAAGTAGCCTATGTGACATATACCTATACATACAGCGCCATCTATACCAATAATTTTGTTTTCCCTCGGGATAAAAAGTACCCTATTGTTTAATCCAGACTACTAACTTTACGTCTGCAAAAATTCAATGCAATCGGTTTAGTATTTACGGCGTGAAGTCGGAACAAACAAACAAACTTACTTTCCGTAAACACTTGTATTAGTAAGGATTGTACACAATCATCCTCAACATCCCATAAATGCCCACTGCTGAGCAAAGCTTCTTCTCACACTGAGAAGGTTTGAGCATTAATCACCACGCTTGCTCTTTGCTGGTTGGCAATTTCGTATAACGACGATACAATAGACGATACAGTACTTAAAAATTAAGGTAAAGATATTTTGGAAATTGATTGTTAAGCCTTTGACTGCCAATAAAAAAACTGTTGAAGGTAAATCCTCCTGTAACGTCAGTCACCATGGCGTTTAACGTGTTAAAGTATTTTTAATTTTATTAACATTGTTTCGTTAAATTTTATCATTATATTTTTTTTGTGGAGATCCCTTAATTGTTTTTTTTTATCCCAGAGTAGTCCTAGAAAGTTAATATCAGTATTAATTAGTTTAAAAGTGGTAATTCATAGCCTATTTACTGTAAACATACTCATATGTCATTACCTATTTATTTTGTCAGATCCCCGAGCGTCGGACCCTCCGCTGAGCGTGGACACGTCCCTGTGGGGCAACAAGAGAAGGTTCTCTGTACGGGAACAGTCACACCAAGCTATTGAAGCCCACAATAGATTGTAAGTACTATGCATACCCATGTACCCGTGCTCTTACACAATTTTATTGGTTGTGTTCATAAATGGTGTCAACGAAAAGATTGTGAAAGATATTCAAATATCGGAATACTGAAACGCTACTCAATTTTAAATCACGCTTAAGTATAGTTCTGTCTCTACAAATTCTTTGTAAAATGACAGAGATGGCACGATATTTGAGCATGACTTAAAATTAAGTAACGTTTCAGTATTCCGGCAAAAGTCACTTATTTCAATCAGACTCATTTTAAGTGTGAGAGAGCCATGCTTCGGCACGAATGGGCCGGCTCGACCGGAGTCACACCACGGCCGAGCAGAAAACCAACGCTTTCGTTGCGTGAGTGAGCTTACCGGAGGCCCAATTATCCCCCATCCTCCCCAATTCCTGAATCCCCAACAGTCCTCAAATTCCTAATCCCCAAAAGGCCAGAAACCACTTGTAACGCCTCTGGTGTTCCAGGTGTCCATGGGCGACGCCGTTTGCTTGCTTACCGGCTTATCCTATAAAAAGAGCAAAACACGACCACGACCATTAGAAATGTCTGTCTAATGAAACTAAATGCTAAACCTAAAGTGAACATTTTTATGGAGAAGAGAAGAACTACCAAAATACTACATGGTTCAAAATCTTTTCTTTTTGTACGTGTAAGCAAGAACTATCATGATTAAAACATCTCTTCCTATCTCTTTGTACATTTACGGTACAACAGTCCTTGCCGCCATATTTATCGGCTCTATAAATTCGCTTACAGATCAGAAAGGCGGTCCCGTCTAATATCAGCCCCTACGAACTTCGCGCACCTGTCCCACATGGGCCCCGGGGACGGGATCCGGTCGCAGAGACTGCTAGACCTGCCCACCACCGTCGAAACTGCCGATGATCATCCACAGGTACGTATCTATAGCTATATATAAATTAAAATCGTAGAAAAGTGAAAACTGTACATAGAATATTTTGAATGTGAGAATGTGATCGTTTTTTAAAAAAAACGTTGCCCCACACTAGGATTATCTCCTGTGTCGTGGGTGCGTTTACAAACATACAAGTTCACATACACATGACAACCGGACGAAATCCCGGGCACAGCTAGTTTTATAATATTAACCAACTTAAAATAGGGTTAAAGTCGGTTTTTTTTGGAAAATACTTTGAAGATAAGTAATAATTTTTGAAATGGAAATACTCTATTCACAGTAAAATTATTTGTTGATAACATTGTTAATATTTTTAATCAATTGTCGCTTATATTCCGTAGGAATTAGGACAGCATTAAAAGTGAACAGGTCGACAGGTCGTTAAAAGTGAAACTAAACTAAACTTTGACTTTTGAATGAAATATTGAAAAAGGTTTTTTAATGTTGTTTTGAACTGAACACCTACCTGCATATAGTTATAATTAAAGATAAAGATAGTTTTATTTGCCAAAACATGTGTAGGTTACAATAATACATGCAAAAATGAATGTTTACTATAGATGTACAGTATTGTTGGTATCAACATGCTTAACCGTGACCGGTGTACAGACCTATATTAATCATTTTTGCAATAATAAATCTATAATTAAATTCGTTATTAGTGGCGCTGGCGTCGAAAATAGTCATTAGCCTCAGAAGCAGTAAAACATACTGACAAATAAATGTTTCTGTTAGACTTAGCACTATGGAAATGTGTATTCTAATATGTTTGTATTTGTCATTTACAGATGTATAGTAGTCGAGAAAGTAGTAAACGAACGTCACCGTTAACGATATCGCATGGCACTGGATCCTATAACGGTATGTAGACGAATGCAATGATATCATCAGTCATAGATTTTTTTAGCCATTTACATCTAGAAATGAAATGATATTTATTTTTATATTAAAATTTTCGTGAGACATAATAAATTAATTATTGTTTCCGGCTTACTCACGTAACTGTTTGACAAGGAACTCGACTAGTTTCAAACCATGCTTGAGGCTCATACTAATGAGCCTTTAGCATGTCTCTAGCGTCGCGGGTCGTGGAATGCTGCTCATGACTATGAGCCTCTAGCATGGCTTGAAACTAGTCGAGTTCCTAAATTAACTAAAATCGCAGGTTACTCACGTGAATATACCGAGAAAAGCTCTACTAGTTTCACTTAAGTTAGCTGCGCGACGTCCCCACGACCGCGCACGCTGCTCATAAGGTAGACCACCTCTGTGGTTCGAAACTAGTAGGGCTTTTCTCACTATATTCACGTGAATAACCCGCGATTTTTAGTTAATTTAGTATGTCTCACGATAGTTATTGTAAAAAACATAGTCGAGTTCCTCGTCAAATTGATCGTGAGATTGATCCTAATATTTTCATCTAAGCCTTTAACTGCCGACAAAAACTGTTAAAGGCTAATCCTCCGCTAGTGTCGGACAACATTGTCCGACACGGCAGCCAATGCGGTTATTTAATTTCCGCCGTTAGTTTGATATAAATTTTTAGATCTATTCATGATGTTTCCAGGTTCATGGAGAAGTGCAGGTCGTCGTGACGCCCCGTGCGACCCCCCCGCGTCCCCCCCACGTATGGAGCGGTCGCTGGGGGGCGGCTCGCAGGGGAGCGGCTCCCTACTGGAGCGGTCCATCACTCCACTCAGTCTGGGCAGCATGAGCTCACTGCATGATGTGCTGAAGGTAAACCTGTCATGTAATTTACTCTGCACTCGCTTCTCCCCTTCACTCTCCTCCTTACTGCACCCCTTTTGCGCCGATCCTTTCATTTCCTACGCTTTCTTGCTAACATCGTAATTTTTTAAATTTTTTTCGCCGACTTCTTTTATAGGTTTTTAAAGGAGAAGGCTCCTTCTTCGTTGAGTACTCTAGACTTACTTATTCACTGCCGCATCTTCCTTACATCTTGTTTGCCGACACCCCTTCCCCTATCCTTTTTTAACCGAACTTAAATAATAAAAATAACACTCATATCGATTTTACATCTTGCAGGTTGGTACGGAACTAGGTGACGGCCTGCATTCCGAGGACAGTAGTTGTGGAGCTTCACCACCGCATCCTATGGATCCTTGATGGTATGTGCATACTGCTATATATTTATACTCTACTAGATTCCAGTTTAAACTGTTTAATAGGTTCAAGTTGTATCAAAGAGCGCTGCTTTCCTTTATCAATGATATTATAGCTATGGTAAATTCATTAGATATTCAATTATTGAACTAAAGTGAAGTAAAGTTAGATTTCTCGCTGTAAAAAGTCTATCTGGCCAAACAAAAAAAGCAGTGGGACCCAAATGTGGTACGCGCCTACTCCTCTGTCGATTTTTAAGTGTGAGAGAGCTATGCTTCGGCACTGCTGGGCCGGCTCGACCGGAGTGATACCACAGTCACATAGAAACCAACGTGAAACAACACTTGTGTTGTGTTTCGTCGTGTGAGTGAGGTTAACGGAGGACAATTATCCCCCACACTCCTCAATCTCTGAATCGCCAACAATCCTCAAATTCTTACCCTCGAAACTCCGGTAACGCACTTGTAACACCTCTGTTGTTCGAGGTGTCCATGGGCGACGCCGATTGCTTACCATAATATGAGACTTGTGCTCGTTTACCGACTTATCCCATAAAAAAACATCCGGGGACAAGTAGGGGTGGAAAAAAATGTACTTATTCTTTTATGTTGCCACACTGCGGCATGAACATATCGATGCTTAAAAGATAAATTAATATATTTTCCAGAAACCAGCTGAACTCCTCATGGACACTGGACATGTCCCGTTTCTACGCTTGCTTTTGTTAAAACATTATATTAGTTGCGATCGGGACTACAAACTGTACCTTGTGTCCTATACACAGAGTTCAAAATGCCGTAGCAAGCGACGCTTTAAAAACTTTAAATTATACACTGCTATATTTGTGATAGATATAATTTAAAAACAAAATAATTTATTTAATAAAATGTAAATATTCAGGATGACAATAATGATTAATAAACTGTACAATATGTACAAATACTTCTCTGCCTACCTCTTGTAGGATATAGGCGTTATGTTTTACTAATTATGTATTACAAAGAAAATTTTTAGTTCTATAGTAGTTAGCACACATACAAACAAACTTGAATTAATTTTTAATCTGTACTATGTACTAATTTTTAATCTGTACTAATACTATGGGATATATTTTAATATCCAATAAAAATTATATCTATCATAAATATAGCAATTTTGTAATAAATTAACGATTAATTTATTATATATACTATTATTATTACAACATATTTGGTTCCTAAAGAAATTATATTATGGAAGATTTATTTTGCAATATCATTAAATTATTTATCAGAAACAAAAATAATAATAATAAATAATAATTAAAATTAATGGGTTTTTGCATGAAAACGTTGATACTGAACCTTCCATTAAACGATAATAAACAAATTTTTAATAATAGAGTTATTATAATTATAAAGCTAAGTGCACATTGACTGGATATTAGGCGTAGACGGGATTGTAGGCAAATCCTATATTCTCCTTACATTTGTAAATAAAATTCTATATTTCTTACACGTAATTGACCATTTACAATGATGTGTAAATCTTTTAAATGAATTACTTCATGATATGATCAAATTCTTATGAATGTATTTTTAATATACACTTTATTATTTATTTTGTTTTCACTTTATGTGTTTTAATGTTAAGTGTATACTTATGAAATTAACGTTCTTATTTCATAGATTAGCTATTTATTATATTTAACCATGATATGAGACTATTTTGATTTCATTGTTTAGCTAATTATTACGAAAAAAATTCATTAAATATGGCCATAGCATAAGCTCACCCTCTATTACATGGGACTCATAACATAAATAGTGAAAAGTGAACGTTACATTGTACAGTGGCATTAAGTGCCGTAATGTGCACGTCTGCCTACGTTTTCGGGGATAAAAATCGTGATGTTATGTATGGAAATTCATTAAAGTATCAATAAAAATTACCAGAAATGTGCAAGACACTTCATTCTTAATAAACTTTGAAGTAACTAATGAACTCGGTAAAAATTACGAATTACTCACTATACTCTACTAGTTTCGTTTCACAGAGGGATGAATCCCTCTGTCCCATATGAGGATATTTACGTGATTAACCCGTATATTTTCGTTAACTCAGTATGTCTCACGATAGTTATCATAAAAACTTTAAAATATTTTTATTTAGGTATATACCTAATACCGGCAGTGTGCACTAAGCTCTAGTTGTAAAGACCCGATGTGGCTTGTAGGTCAATTAGACTCTGTCTTACTATGTATTTTATATCCATGTACGTTACGTAAGGCGCGGTTTATAAGTGGATTCCGTTTATTATACTTAAAAAAAATAATCAATCAACAAATGTATGTTGTTCGTTATACGTATTAATCGCTCGTGAAATGCCTAAGGCGTATTTTGTCTCGATGTCTTGTGTTCAGCACATTCATATTTCTGTGTTTCTTTCTCATCTTCGAAATTTATCTCTCTTTTAGATTTTGATCTCGATGTTTGATGATAGCACATCTCTGCCATCTTCTTTAGGGAATAACATGCGTTATGTTATGTTTACATACATATTTACAAATTCAATATTTATTACTTCAAGCATTTTTTGCCTAATAGGAACTTTTAAAAATATAAAGAAGTCCAAATGAATTGATGAATTACTGATTTCCACAGATTAGTGTTTTACGCAAATTATAATTTAATAATAAACGAATCCACTTATAAACAGAAACATAATATATTAAATAAAAAATAGTCGTAGGATTTTATTAACCAAATTGTATTTAATTGCTTTTATTTTAATATTAATTAATACTCTGTACGCTACCTTGACGAGGTCGTTCACCGCCGATGTAAAACTAAGCTAAAGTTAATTTCAATAATTAATTATTATTTAATAAATAATTATTTTAATTAAGAATTATTATGATTAAAACATGAACAATGTATTGTATGAGATAATAAATTTTCTATGTTTTTAACCAAATGATATAATATTATGTATGTATGTTTATTATGAATATATTGTGAATGTTATTTGAAAATATTAAAAAAACTAATTTAATATATAATTTACCCGGGTTTCAAATATGATAATAATTATTCGCTAAAGGACTTATTACATTTAAAAATAATTGTCAGTATTTTGTATATATTTTCAAATAATATTTCACAATGATAATCTAACTAAGTGAACACTGCCATTCCTTTATAGGTAGGTAGTTATTATACCCCACTGTGGAACAAATAGAAAAATCATTTCGTTACCTCTTTGTATCGTTATCGATTATTCGCCGTTTAATCGATATCGCCTATTATATCGATCATCGACATTCAATTACTATCCAATACTCTTAAAATAGAAACATGGATACCAATTGAAATTCGATGTTACTATAATGTATAATTTTTAACTTTCTCGCTAGAAATGTATACTATATAATTATATATAATATACATAAGTTTTGTATATGAAATAATAATAATAAATAATGTGATTATTTGAATTTTTAATGAAGTTATTAAAAAGTTATATTACCAAAATAATCGTCACATTTAATGTTTAAGTTTAATTTATAAACATTAAATGGTTATGCTTTATTTTAATGCTTTGTGTGTAAAATGATGTTCAATATTTTAAGTAGAAATGTTGATATTTAAACTTAATTAACCCTTATATACATTATTGTGTTAAATTATGGCGACAAAGCCCGGAATAATAATGTTATCTTTTTGTACATCAATCTTAGAGAAAACATCTGATATATAATTATACCTACATACCTACTAGTTACTTCCGCGCGGTTTCACACGGTCGGCTCAGCTCCTATTGGTAGTAGCGTGATGTTTTATAGCTTATAGCCATCCTCGATAAAAGCGCTATCCAACACCAAAATAATTATTCAAATCAGACTTGTAGTTACGGAGATTACTGCATTCAAACAAACAAACAAAAAAACAAACTCTTCCGCTTTATATAATAGTATAAGAGTATAAGATATATCTTTGGATCAATGCGCAAATTCTTTACGTTAAATTTCTAAAAGTGCTGATTATATTATATAATATTTTACCCGACTGTTCCAGAAAGAAGTATTAAGTTTAACTATAAACATTTCTATGACTAGGTCTAGGTTTTAACCCGACATGTAACAAATCTCATTATAAATAATTTGTGATTATTCACCCTTTAACTGTAAGCAATATGTTTTGTAATATTGTTAATTTTTTTTTAACAATCTAGTCTGTTTTGTTTACGACCGTAATGTATTATTACGACTATGCGTCTTCAAATTATTATTAAGATTGAATTACTTAGTTCTAATGAATATATGAGATTTTTTTTTCTTTATAGGTTAGTTCTATACCACGAGAATTGTGTTTATATACTTGCAAACGATAAGTGAATCTCGGTTTTAATACATGTTTCATATGGTGTGAACTATAAAACTTTAGTGGCGCCATCTACCTTCAAAATTATTGTATCATTTTTGAGAAACGAACATCGATTCATTAATTTTAGTTGTCCAAAGATCGTTCTTCAACAAATGTGTTTGAAATTTTTGTTGGTAAATTATCGTGCAATTGTGTGAAGTGTAGAAAAAAATCGAATATGTATGATATTAACTAAAATTGCGGGTTAAGAAAACCTCTACTCTCTACTGACAGACAGAGGAAGAATCCCTCTCTGGTTCGAAACTAGTAGAGCTTTTCTCAGTATATTCAAGTGAGAAACCCGCGATTTTTAGTTAATTTTGTATGAATTGGTACAGCGATAAAATCATCTAGTGTGGCACGGTAATCTGTGACCAAAATTATTTGAAATTCCTTTAATTTTAAATACAACCTTAGGTTTTGTTCAAGCGATAATTGACCTGTTTTTTTATTATAATGGGTAACTACGTCCTACATGTAACTGTATCTTTGAAATTTGTACTCCCAAAATTAGTATTATACCACTTATAAGAATAGCGTTTGTCCAATTATTCAGTACTATTTAGTTAAAAAGGTTAAAGTTAATATTTAGATTAAAA